GCTACAGATATTTCCCCGCATTTGGTGGGGTGGACAATGACACTTCTAATATTAACTCTTTTGTACATTCTGGGATTTCTTGATATAAATCATAAATCCTTTTTCTGTTACAAACATGGGAGCTCCTGGGTCTATATGTGGAGTTTCACTTACTCACCAGAACAAGCCATTTAAAAATTGGAGCCAGCATCATGGCAAAGCAAGGTAAGATGCCACTTACAACACCAACATCCCTTATGAGCATTGGTTTGAGTCCCAGCAGCTCTGCTTCTAATACAGTTCTCTGATAACACACTTGGGAAGATGGCAGAAGATGGGCCATGTTCTTGGGACCCTGCACCCATGTGGGAGATCATGAAGAAGTTCCAGGTTCCTGGCATCAGCCTGACCCAGCCCCAGGTTGTCATGGCCATTAGGGGCTTCAACCTGAGAACCTTCTTCTCTGTATCACTCTGTGATCCACATAAATAAATCTTTAGAAATAAAACATAAAGGGCCAATGGGTGTGGTTCAGTGGTTAAATCCCTGTCTTCCACGCCTGGAATCTCATATGGGCACCAGTTCTTATCCCAGCTGCTCCACCTCCTATTCAGCTCCTGCTTATGGCCTGGGTAAGCAGCAGAGGATGGCCAAAAGCTTGGAACTCTGCACCTGCATGGGAGACCTGGAAGAGGCTCCTGACTCCTGGCTTGGGATCAACTCAGCTCTGGCCATTGTGGCCACTTGGGGAGTGAACCAACAGATGGAAAATCTCTCTGTATCCCCTTCTCTGTGGATCTGCCTTTGCAACAAAAATAAATAAATCTTTTTTAAAAATTTTTTTTAAAAGGAGAAAATTCAGTTTTCTTTTTTCATTAAACAAACAAAAAAAATGGTTGCCTTTGGCAAGTAACTTGAATAATCTCTGAGAGTCAGAAAATCTTGGAGAAAATCACTGCATCCCAGCTTTATGGTGGGCAGCCTTTGTTCACTCGAAAGGGTTCTGCAGTTTCCCGAAGGAGAGAAAGCCAAAGGCACAAGAACCTTCTGTGCTCAACTTGTCTACACTTCACAAGACTACACTAAACAAAGGTGTCCTTGGCTCAGATGGGTTGGGGAAAAAAAAAAAGAAGAAGAAGAAGAAGAAGAAGAAGATGGAAAAAATGCTTCTCTAAAGCCAATTGGTGTCTGTTTTCACTTTCCCAGCCATCAATATGTTTGGAACCCTGATCCAAAGTGCTTTTGTGTCATCGAAACCCCGAAACCCAGTACGATAACCACCCCCTCCACCAGCAGTACTCTAAAAGCCATTCTTCTACCTCAAATGCCTGTGTTCTATGTTGACACTGAAGGGTTTATTCTGATAAATATCTTAAACCACCATGATGACACTCTCTGTGTGCATGGGCAGCATCCAAGCTCTTATAAATGATAATCATGTGCCCTTTATTTTTGTAAGTTGTCCTGTTTGGTAGGGGAGTCAGGCAAATTACAGTTAGTAATCCCTGTCTCATTTTGCCTTCAGAAGAAACAGACAGTGGGAGGTTCCATGCCTTCACCTGCTCCTCTGGCCTGCCTCTATTCTCACTTTGCCTAGAATCAACTCCCTCCCATCTTTTAGGATTAGATGTTCCTTTCTCAGGGATACCCTCTCTGATCCATTCCCCCAAAACAAGGCTGGTTTTCCTGTTCTATGCCTGTTACAGTCATAGATGTTTAAATGCATGTTGATTGTCTTACTAACCCTTAAATACCTCAGAGAAAGGAACGTGGTCAGTCTTGCTTCCCACTGTACTCCTACCACTTCCCATTGTAGCGTGTGCACCACCACTGTTGAATAGATGGATGAATGAATCATTGAAGTTTCCTTCCTTTAAAAGTGTTTTAAGGACTAACCCCTAACATACGTACTGCCATTTATGCTTATCATTGTATGGTATACAACTAACTATTCTAAGCTCTGGGGCTAATACTGAATTGGAAAAAAATGAGCCATAAACATGAAAAAAATTATTCGATTAGTGGTGGATTAGAGACAAGCTTCCCAACTCCTGGTTTACTGAATAAAAAGTAAACAATCAATTATTTGGATCAGTAGTTGCCTTGGTAACTGAGAGAAAGGAGAGGAGAGGTTTGGAGCTGCTTCCTGATGGCTGACAAAGGGGCTGGGAAGGCAGTCAGTGAGACAGGCCCAGGTCAATGCCATTACAGACTTAGGAGACCTTTTCCAGTCATTCAGTGCCTACTGGGCATCAGCTCCATGTTAGGCACTATGCGAGGCCTGAGGGTACAGTGGTGAACTAGAAGTAATACCTTAGGCCTCGTGGAAGCAAATATAAAGGAAAAGAAACATCCATGCCATGGAGAATGGGACACAGAGAGGGAGAATGGAGAGCATGAGAGTAAGGGGAATGATGCTTGAGCTGTGGTGATTTAGGAAAGGTTTGGGCTGTATGCCAAAGTCTAGGAAGACTGAAGTCAAGACTCACGTGGGCTCACGTGGGCTCACGTGGGCTCACGTGGTGTCAGTAGTGGGTTAAGTCACCAATTGTGACAGTGGCATCCAGCATGATGTAGAAGCACTGGTTTGAGTCCTACCTGCTCTGCTTCCAATCCAGCTCCCTGCCAGTGTATCTGGTAAGGCAGCAGAAGGCACCCTAAGACTCTGAGCCTGTGCTATCCATGTGGGAGACCAGAACAGAGATTCTGGCTCCTGGTATCAGCCTGACGCAGACCTGCCAGCAATTGCCATATGGAGAATGAATCAATAGGTAAGATCCTCTCTTGCTCTGATTTTTCTGCATTTCAAACGAATAAATAAATATTTGAATAAGAAAAGGAGCAAAGATTATAAGAAAGAAAAGGAAGAAGAGAGGAGAGAAGAGAGGAGAGGAGAGAAGAGTCATTGGCTGGTTTTTATTTTATTTTGTTCTGGGTTTTTTTAATAATTGTTCTCCATGATATTGTTTTATGGGCATAGGGATTTCCTCCCACCTCTCCTCCTCTTTCTCCCTCCCTGTCCCCTAACCCCACTACACTGTTTTCTGAACCTGTTGTAAATGTGTACCATTTTAATAATCACACACACACACATACACACACATACACTCAAGCACATGTGTAAATACTCATCCCCACAGGCATATGAAGCTCAAGTGAGGCCTAGCACTTGTTCTTAAGTCCTTGTGAAGCGAGTAGCTGCTTCTAGGGTCTGCTTTCATGAGAGGTGGTGAGATCTAGCTCCCCAGCACTTTGTTCTGGTGCCTATGGATGAAGGCATTATAACTGTGAAAACAATGAAATGATGGTAACTCTGAAGCATCTGGACCAAGGGAGACAGAGCAGCTTTGTCAACATCAAGGGAAATGCCAGGTGTTAATGTGTGGGGCCTGATGAATGGCTACACTGTGAGTCTTCACCTTAACAGCAAGAGATGGCCCTCAAGATGGTGCTGGGATTCCAAGGAGCATGCCTGGTAGGGAAACTGTGGGAACTCCCCTGCTGGACTGCAGTTCCCACTGGTGAGAATGAAAACCAGGGCTGGGCAAGCCAGGCTGGTCAAGGCGGCAGCACCCATCAGATACATGCTGGCTGAGCCTAAGGATGGGTCAAGCTGAGCTAAATGGCAGCACCTATGGGTGTGCACAAAAGCCAGATGGGATGCAGGACAAACCCAGCTAGGTTGTATCACATGCAAAAACTGGGGCTGGGGGTAGGCCTGCTGGGAGTTATTAGGTGTCTCCTCAACTAGGCTGCACCCACTGGCTTGGCTAGGCCACAGTATCCATTGGTTCGCATGAGAGATGGGGTTGGAGGTGGAACCAGGCAGCTACATCCATAGGTATGTATGTTGGCTGGCACAGGTAACAGACTGAACCTGTTCCTGCACTGGCTGCCACACTTTAGAGTCATGTCTGAGGTTTCTTGAGGGACTCCCCGACTGGATCGCTGGACTCAGAATCTGGCCACAGGGAAAATCATAGGATGTGTGGTCTGACTTTAGTATGCATGTATCGGGACTGGGCTTCCTCAGTTGCTGATATCTGTGCAGTGGACAGCATACTCAGATACACTCGGCGGACGTGAGAGCTAGCTCATCCATGCCAGCAGAAGATGTCAAGTGCCTTGTCAGAGGATGTAAAGCAGAAAATACTGGATCACTCTCCCAGCCAACCCCTGCAGCAAGTGTCTGGGTAGGTGGGTGCACTAACATGGACTTTAATGGACAATCCAAACTGGAGACATTTAGGAGGATCAAGTTTATCAAGGAGACTATACACTTACAGGTGTTCCAAGCAAGGAGAACTTGCTTTTGGTTCCTGCTTTGCCATGTATTTCTGAGTGACACTGAGATATTCATCCTTCCTCTTTGGGCCTCAGTTTATCTGTCTCATTACTGCAGATACAGTGGCATCATCCTACAGTTGAAGAGTAAGTAGGGACAATATGGGGAGGTGGCAGGGCTGGTGGATGCAGCACCTCACATAACCATTTTCACTAGAGCAGAGACTGAACTTGTCCCAATGTTTGTCTATGAGGAAGCATTTCTGCAATGAGATAAGGAAAAGGTTAGGGGCAGTGAGAGATCTCTGGAAGCCCACTTCCAATGCTCTGCTGAGAGTGAACTCCATGCATGCTATATTTCTGGAGCTGCATCAGTGTGTGCAGTGGACTTGAGCTCAGCCTGCTGTTGTGATTTTCACATGAAAGCCATCAGACTTCAGAAAAAGCAAGTCGAAATGTGGGCTGTGTTCCAAACCAGTTTGAAGCCAGGATTGGAGGAATTTGGTGCAAGATGAGAAGCTGGGCCTCTTTTTAAATCCAGGTGCTCTGGATTAAGAAGGCCACACAGCAAGGCAGTCTCCACCTCCTGCCCTCCTCTCTGAGGCACCAGGTTGCCTGCCTCCACTCAGAAGGACACTCCAGTGGCTTGGACCTCAGTCCTTTCTGCTCATTTCTGTGGCTGGTACCAAGGAGCCTTCCTATCTAGAACTACAAGGTAGAACTGAACTGCAGGTGCAATGCCCTCCCCGTCAAGCCCAGATGAGTTGGTTTTCTTTGTCAATGGGAGGAAGGTAAGTGTTGAATATTTCTACTGCGGTTTATAGTAAAATGTTTACTTGAGAATAGCTCTATGGCCTACTTGGGTTACAACCCCTCTACACAGGGGTGAAAAACCAGGAACTGGAAACCCATCCTAACATGACCATTCCCTCTCAGTTGAGGCTCAGCAATGTGTGTCTTAGAGTGGGGGGAGATAATGACCTGCTATTGATCGCAAGTGCCCCTTGGTGCCTCTGATCCAGTCTGACTCTGCCATTATCTATATAAGCTCATGCAACCTTTGAGTTTTGGAATCCTTAACTTGGGGATCCACTTCTCAGAATTGTTGTAAAGATAAAAAGAAAACTGTTTCTCTTTCATTGTTAGGAACCCCCCAATGTTTATTAATGACTTAATAATGAGCTTGATATGTAGAAGCACATTATCTAGCATACCTTGGTCTTCAAACTCAAGAAGACAAGAAATGGAGCTTTGTTTGTATTTCTGCTTATTAATTTTTTGTTGGACCTCTTTTTATACAAAATTGGTTGAAATGCTGTCACAGTCCATTTTGAGGCCCTCTCTTTTCCTGGGTCACAGCCAAGTTCCAGGAAGAAGCTATTTGGCAAAAGCAGAGCATCAAGATGCCAGCTTCTCTCTGTCATTCTCTCTGGTCCTCACCACCCCTCATGCAGGCCAGCAGTTCCCCTCAGTGCCCTCTGCCAGGCCCTCCCTCTCCTAAGTCTACCAAGGGAGCCATTCTGTGGTCCTGAGGCACATAGGTTCTCTGGAACTTCTCCCCTTTGCCTCCAGGGCCCCTCAGCCCTCTGATCCCACTCACCTAGTGGAATTTAGCTAGGCTCACTTCCACTTAACACATGACCCTAGAAAAGAGAACAGAGGTTCACTCCTGTGCTGGGTTCCCAAGCCAGTAATCACCATGCATTCTTCTAAAATGATGTTAGGAGCTAGGTTCCTACTTACTTGTTCCACCGGCCTCAGTTTTAAAGACTCAAAAGCCAGAGGAGTCTCTTGTCCTGGCTTCTGCTGTTAACCTTCTGAATCATGAATCCAGAGAGCAGGAACTACAGCCAAAGAAAAGGGTTAAATCAAGGGTTAAAAGTAATACAGCTGGCTGTGTGATCGGGTAGAAGGCAGAGCTAAGATATTATCTAACCACATGCTCAATATATTTGCATAAAGGACCTGTGGTGAGTGTAAAGCAGAGGGGCCTTCATTTGTTGATTGGGAGCTCCCGAAGGAACCAGGAAACAGTGGAATTTTAATTGTGCATTTGTAGCATGATTGTATAGAGTTCTATATAGAAAATGGAGACTTCCTTCTTATGGAAGTGTTGAGCTCTAACCAGTTCATTTCTGTACCCTTTAGCCTAGTGTGTCAGAACTTATTTTTTCATTGTATATTTAAACTTTCCCTCTAAGCTAGAGGCTTTGTGGGATCCCATGGTCAGGTCTGGAGAGGAAGCATCCATTTACAGAACTCACTTGTAGCCAGTTGGAAGCATCTTCCTGTAGTCCTTTTGTTCTTTAAGATTTACAAACATGTATGTCTTCCTCGCGGCACCAAAGCAAGTGCACAACACTCACAGTCCACCCCATCTTTCTTCCTGCTAACGTATACATGGGATACAGGTGTTTGCACAACACCTCAAGACAAAGTCAAAGGCAATATCTGGGGCAAGCAAATAAAAAAGAGGCACCAAAGAAGTTCCTTCGTGGCATTTAGATGGTAAATCCTCTGTTTGCCAAAGTTGGAAGGAGGACAGGATTCTTCTATCCTGACGAGAGCCTCCCTGGGTATGAACTGAAATACTAAGGGTTTTGCCATAGGGCCAGACTTCCGGTGAAGGGTTTGGCATGTTCCAGGGCCTTCCACAATGACTGAGGCTTTCCCTTTACCCTCCTCTGCCACCAAAATCCATAAAATCGCTGATATTATCCAGTGTACGCCCCACCAGATGTTTCTCAGAAATGCCAGAAACTACCCACCTGGTTTTTGTCCCTGCAAGACCCTGCACTGTACATGCACACAGCCACACACGCAAAGTCCCTGCTAGATGTGAAACATTTCTAGAGTACCACAGCCTGAATAAGATGAGTCTGCAAAGGTACACAGTGGGCAAAGATGAAGAGCACATAACTTCTAGGGGCATCTTGACATTGCAGCCATTCCCTGCACACAGAGAGCAGGGTGTCACACTTGCTTTGTGGGCATCTGCCCTAGAAATGTATGTGAAAGCAGCTTGACAAAAGCTAGCCTAATGAGCCCCAATACTAAACCAAATAGGCCCCAACAAACCTCCTACTGCACAGTGGATTCAATCCCCATAACCATTTTCTCTTCTCATTCCCATGCAGGTGAAAGAGAGGAATGCTGACCCTGAAGTGACGCTGCTGACCTTCCTACGAAAGAACTGGATCCTTTGAAAGAATGTCTCAGTTATGTCTGTTTGCCTTAAACCTTAAGCCAGCTCTCAGAGGGCAAACTCATCAAATTTCCATCTAAACAGTCAGCCCCCTTGGCCCTCACTCTCTGTTTGCTTTTTTGGCCATGGTTTTAAGGCTATTAGGCTAATTGGCCTGTTTGGGAGAGGATGAGGTTTCCCCAGAGTTTATTACATCTGATTTAATAGCATGAAATAGAAGCTAAGCTTTTTAGTTTGGAGCTAATTATTCCCCTATGGGATTTCCAGGTCTCTCCGGGGCACTTATGTAACAGCAGCTGAAGTTGTATGCGCCCTGCCCTTCACAACACCAAATATCACAGATTCGGTGAGAGCATGGGTCCTTGGAGAACTTGCACCCTTTCATCTGATCTCATATCTGATTTTCCCCATCCTTGATTGGACTGTAACTTAGATCTGCATCAGAGCAAACATGCTCTCTGGGGCAAATCCAATCACTCAGTTAATCCAAGAACAAAAATATGGCAGAAATTAAAAATAATAAAATCAGCCTCTGAACAGATTTCATATAAAAGCCTACATGACTTTAAATTACCTACCAATGTTTGAGAATTAGGAAATGGCATATTTTTTAAAGTCAGTGTTTGTCAACTTCTCATGATAAATGGGGAGGCAACCCCTGCTGACGGGCCATGGTCTTACTGAGTGCTGAGTGGGGACTGCCCTCTGCCCCCTGCACGGAAGCTCTCCAGGCACACTCAGCCCACCCTAGTCAGCAGCATGAGCCCTCTGAGCTGCATTTGATTTAATTAAGATGAGTAAATCCTAGGGTTAAAAAAAAGACAGGAAAACCCAACGGACAGTGCCAATAGAGGTAGCAATTCAGAAGTGTTTTTAGCAGTCTAATTAATCACATCCAGTCCCACAAATAGCATGACAATGCATCAAAACTGGGGAAAAGGATGAATAAAAAGGTGCTAGGGCTGAGCCTGGATTTGAAATCAGGGGAGAACAAATTGAGAGCAGAGGAATGCTCAGGGTGGAATCTGAAAATATAAGATTCCTGTAAAGACTCACTTGCAAATGCCAGGACCCATTACTGGGCAAACTGGTAATCCATGGAGTAGCTAAGTCGCATGATGGAAAGCAGAGGAAAACATAGAAGAGCACCCTATAAGGAAACAGAATTTTCAGAGCTTTTTTATAAGCGAGATACCTGTAACAAGCCTGTGAAGACAGAGTATCACTCCTCTCTCTTTGCAATGTCAGCATCACACACTAATGGAGAGATAGGCTAATAACTGCTCACATCTGCTCCTTGCCACTTCATCACCAGGCACACCCCAGGGATGTCCTGCTGTCCACCTTGGGATGTTTTCCTTGATGGCCTCCCTTCCAGTGCGTCTCACAGGCACCAAGTATGCCTGTGGAACAGGAGGCTGCGGTGCCTGCACTGTGATGGTGTCGGAGCACGACCCCATAACCAAGAAGATAAGGTATCCTGCCAGAAGTCCATGGCGGTCTCTTCTTCTTCACCTTGCTTGCAGGCTCAACTCACAATTTTAAAAGATGTTGAAACTTTTTCCACCCCCTCCATCTTAGTCCCCTCTGGAAACTCCTGACATTACATATAATGGCAACAAGATCCTGAAGCTCCCACGGCCCGTCTAGGCATCCTGGGCCAAGAAACTGCAACGTTTTACAGAGGAGGAAATAGGCTCAAAGGGATGAAGCAATGTGTTTGCAGTCATGTAATTAGTCACTTATACAACAAGAACTTTAATTCCCATTTGTTTTTCTGGCTCTAAAACAAATGCCAAACCTGAAGAGCAAGCATCTAAGCCATGGTTTTGCCTTTCAGTTAAGAGCCAGATGCCAGACCTTGGACTTCCCCTAAATGCAAAACCCAAAAAAATCAAGAGGTGGTTTAAGAGGCCAGCACCATGGTATCTAGGCTAACCAGCTACTGATGCTGCCTGTGTCTCACAAGAGCACTGATTTGAGTCCCGGCTACTCCATTTCTGATCCATCTCCCTGTTAATGAGTCTGGAAAAGTACTGCACTACGGCCCAAGTGCTTGGAGCCCCTGCACCCACGTGGGAATCCCAAATGGAGTGTCAGGCTCACCATTTCAGACTGGCCCAACTCCAGTGGCCAGAAGATTTCTCTCTCTCTCTATCTTCCCTCCTACCCTATTTCCCTCTCTCCTTCTCTTTCCCTCTCTCTCCCCCTCTCTCTTTCTCTCTCCCTATTCCTCTCTCCCCCCTTCTCTCTCTTTCCCTCCATCCCTCTCCTTCTTCCTCTCCCTCTCTTACCTCTCTCTCTGTCACTCTGCCTTTCAAATAAATAGAAAAACATTTTAAGGAACAGTGAGAGGTGGGCTGAGAATACAGGTCATCTAATTGTTGTCCTGCATTCAGACAGATTAAAATTTCAAGCAAAAGTTCCATGTGTGTTCACAAACATAAAACAGATCAACATGCCTTGTGCTTGTTACAATGCCAGTATCACATTCCCAGGCCTAGTCGGATGGGTCCATTTCCATTGTTCCTGAGCAAGTGGGCTTGAACACGTTCCAGGGGTTCATAATGCCCATATTCACTAGAGCAGTTCCCATCCTTCCCCTCCCCTTCCCACATCCAGCTCCCCATGTCCTCAGCCTAGGGATGGCCGCGGAGGCTTTCTCATGCCCTTCCTGGTTCCAGGCTTCGCCGCCCCACTCCAGCACAGGGCAGCACTGTGCTGTTCCCTTCATTTCCTCTTGTGTTTCTCCTACAAAGGCACATCTCTGTCACTGCCTGCCTGGTGCCCATCTGTTCTCTACATGGAGCTGCTGTCACCACCGTGGAAGGTGTGGGAAGCATCAAGACACGAATTCACCCCGTCCAGGTACAAGAACGTTCTCCTTTGCTTACTTCTGTATCTTCTTACCAAATGTTGCATTACTCACTATCTGAGCTTTCTAGGTTGTGGCCAGGTACATGGAAGCTTTGGATGCATGTTGTTCAGAATCAGGGTATGTGTTAAATAACTTCAATGAAAGCTGGAAAATCATCCACTCTTCATTAGGTGACCATGTTTGTTTTTTCTTTTTCTACTTGAACAATAAGCAGAATTTTCAAAAATTTTAATGCCACTTGGACTATGATCCAGAGAAGACATGATATAAAGGAAATTACACAAGGAATAAAACATCTCCAAGGATGTAAAGGATGCTAAAGAGATAAAATACAGGATTATTCCCTGTGGCACAGAGGCCTGGAGGAATGAGTGGAATCCAAAACTGAGCAAGAGGATAATGGCTTCTCTACATACCCTGGAGCCACATGGCTTGCACTGGCAGAGAACACATTGATTCCCTTGTCACTGTCACAGGGGTTCACAGAGTCAATAGGCCAACCCTACCTCCTAGGTAGGAGAGGCCCTGGAGGTGTCTGGCTTTAACCCTGGCAGCCCCAGTGAGGTCAGCCAGTGCAAAGGAGCCAACAATGTCTACCAGTGTTGGAACAGGATGCTCCCAGCAAGACTGAGAGATCCAGGATCTTATTGCATTAGAAAATCTAGAACAGGGTTTCCCCATAGTTGGTGTGCCTGTGACTCACCGAGGAGCTTGTTACTGGCACAGATCCTGAGTCAGGAGGTCTGGAGCAGGAGCCACGGTTTTGCTCTTCCTAGGGCTCCCAGGTGGAACCAACACCACTGGCCCACAGGCTACACTTTGAGCAGCAAGGATCCAGAAATCTAGGACGCAGACCAAAATACTGGCCCTGGAAAAGCAGAGCTGCCTCAGAACCAACAAAGAAGACACTAAAGTGAGAGCAGGGAGAGCCTCCAAGTTAATAATAGTCTAAAAAGGAGAGGGGACAGCTTCGAAACCAGAACTATGCAAGATGTTCAGGTGTTCAAGAAAACTGGTAATCTTAACTCCAAGTTTACTTGAGAGGCAGAAAGAGAAAGAGAGAGATGCCATTAGCTGCTATACTCCCCAAATGCCCACAGTGACCAGGGTGAGGGGGTCAGTCCAGGTTGAAGCCAGGAGCCAGAAATGTAATCCACATCTATCAGGTGGGTGTCAAGAATCCCAGTACCTGAGCCACCATCACTGCTTTCCAGGCTCTTCAATTACAGGGAGCTGAAGTCAGGAGCCATAGCAAGGAATTGAACCCAGATACTTCAATGTAGGATCCAGGCATCTTAACTGGAGTCTAGGTTAAATACCTACTTCGAGGTAATCGCTTTGGGTATATCCACACATTCATCTTACACTTACTGGTTTCTAGGAACCTTTTCTTGCTATGGGATTGGAGGCTGCACATCACTAACTCCCAGTTAGAAGGGTTTGAGCACTTGACCTTGGGGAGTGATTCCCAAGTGATGCTCTATGGCTCCAGGGCCACTTCCTCCAGGGACAGCTGAGGAGAAGGGACCCTGCCACATGCTGATTAAAGGTACAGGATATGTTTGCTGACGTGACAAGGGACACACAGGCTGCAGCCCCGTGACAGTTGGCAGCAGCAGCAAGGCATGGCCCTAACCATTCATGTGTCCTTCCAGGAGAGGATTGCCAAGAGCCACGGGACCCAATGTGGCTTCTGCACACCTGGGATGGTGATGTCCCTTTATACACTGCTCAGGAACCACCCGGAGCCCTCAGAGGAGCAACTCGTGGAAGCCCTGGGGGGTAGGTAGGACCCAAGGCCATGCCGGAAGTGTGCCTCCAGCTGCCCCTTTCCACCAACAATGTCATCCAAGCCCCACTCGGTTCCCTGATTCAGCTGTGGCTCAAGCAGAGACCATCCACCTGGGAGCAAGGAAGAATGTCAAACTGTTCCCTGCCAGCCAGAGCAGACTTGAAGAGGCGTGCACAGCATTAGCACTGGGCAGGATTAGCAGGTGGGCAGTACCACCCACCTGACACCTCAGTACTCCATCCAGTTACTTGCCTGCCTGCTTTCATCAAGGGCCTGAATTAGTTGCACAAGGCTTCCTGTCAGTACCACAAACTGGCTGGCTCACAACAGAACTGAGTTTCCTCACAGATTTGGAGACCAAGTCTGACATCCACATGCCATTAAGGCCATGCTGTCTCTGCTAGCTCTAAGGAGGACCCTTCTTAATCTCTCCCTAGATTCCAGAGGCTAGCAGGGGTGCTTGGTGTGCTGATCTGTGAAAGTGTCACGCTAATCTGTGACTCCAAATGGCCATTTCCCCCTGGGTATTTGTGTCCAAATTTCCCTCTTATTTTTTTAAAAGATTTAATTTTTTATTTGAAAGGCAGAGTCACAGAGTGAGACACACACACACACACACACAGATTGAACTTCTATCCTCTAGTTCACTCTCCAAATGGCCACAATAGCCAGGGCTGGATCAGGCCAAAACAAAGAATCTAGATCTCCATCCTGGTCTCCCAAATAAATGTAGGGGCCCAAACACTTTGGCCTTTGTCTGCTGCTTTCCCAGGCACATTAGCAGGGAACTGGGTTGGAGGTGGAACAGGTAGGTCACAAACCAACACCCACGTGTCATGCTGGCATTGCAGGTGACAGCTTTACCCACTGTTCCTCAACACTGGTCACAAGTTTCCCTGTTCTTATGAGAACATCAGTCATGGGATTCAGGCCTACCTCTTAATCCTGTGTAACCTTGTCTTAACTTGAATAGATCTTAAGAGATCCTTTTTTCAAACAAAGCTATGCTCACATGTTCACATATCTTTTTTTTTTAAGACTTATTTATTTTATTGGAAAGGCAGATATACAGATAGAAGGAGAGACAGATAGGAAGATCTTCCATCTGATGGTTCACTTCCCAAGCAGCCACAACAGCTGAAACTGAGCCAATCCGAAGCCAGGAGCCCAGAACTTGTTCCAGGTCTCCCACACGGGTGCAGGGTCCCAAGGCCTTGGGCCATTCTCGACTGATTTCCCCAGGCCACAAGCAAGTTGCTAGATGAGAAGTGGGGCCACCACTTCCCATTAGATTAGAACCAGCTATGGGATCCTGGCATGTTCAAGGCGAAGACTTTGGCTGCTAGGCTATCATGCTGAGCCCTCACATATCTTTTGAGAAGTCAGAATTCAACCCAAAGCAGGGTCCTTAAACTTTACAAGTTATTTAAGCTACTAAAGAGTACTTCATAAATATACCCCTTCTGCAGGATCAAAATTATCATCCAAGTCATCTGACAGACACAGTCTTAGACTGAGAATTGAGCCTATCAAGCTTCTGAGTACTCACTTGCTCTCTCTCTTCCTCCCTCCACCCTCCCCCTGCTCTAGTACAGAAAAAAAAAAACTGTTTAAATCACTTAAAGTCCCCCCATTTCCTTGGACTTTCCTCCCATCTGAGGTCCCTTTGCAGTTGCTTATCCTTTAAAGCCTGGTCAGGCTTAACCCCTCTCACCAGGCATTCAGGGGATTCCAACAGCTGACTCCTTCACTAGCTCAGCCTTCTTCCTGCTCTGGGTGATGTGCCTCAGACCAGGCTCCCCTCAACCCCCACATGACTCCTCATTTGCCTGAGACCCCAATGTGCCCCTCCCCTGTTCTCCACCAATCCAGAGCTTGCTGCTTCTTCAGGTTGCTATTTCTTCCTGAAACATTCTGTTCTGCGCTGAGCATCCTCCATCCCCACCCACCCCTGAGATCTTCATCCTTGGAAGGTTCTCACCACGCCATACACTGAAGCACAGACCTCCCACATGCAGATACCTGGGTCCTCTCCCAGACATTCTAATGCTGGATTGTGGAACAAGGACAAAGGACCCATGTGTTTATAAATACTCTCAGTATATCCGGATGGAACGACCCAAAGAGCACCACTGACAAACATCAGCACACTTGTCTAGTGCTTTGGAAATTGCTCAATTTCCTATTTTAGGACCCCCACTGTTTTACATCATGTCTGAAATAGAGTTGCTGTTGATAGCGACACATTGAGAGAATGAATTAATAGATGAAGGAAAGTGAGCTCCCAGCTGGTATGTCATTTTCTTTAGGATGAAGAATAAAGCTTAAACTTGAGGTAGGGGGAGGCTAATATTCCCAATGCAGGGGGAAGGCATTCAACAGCTTGGTAGATACTAACATCTCTCTCAAAGAAAAGACTGGGTCTATTTCAAGTTTTTAAGGAAGCTGGTAAAAAACATGGCTCCTGACAGCACGTCTTTCTTTGGATTAGGTAATCTGTGCCGCTGCACCGGGTACCGGCCAATTCTCGAGAGTGGGAAGACCTTCTGCACGGTGAGTGGGTGACTGCAGGCCATTCCGCAGAGCAAGTGTGACACGGAAAGCCACATGAGCCTGGGAGCCCCAGAATGGGAGTAACACAAAGTGCTCAAATTACAAAAGAGGGCCCAGGTGAGTTCACCAACTCCCTGGGATCTGCCAGCGAAAGACCAGGTGACTAATGATTCCACCTTTGAGGTCCAGGCAAAACTGCAGGAGGAAGTCAAGTGATCTAACCAGACACCAAAGGTTGTTCTTACTGAGTTAAGCCAGGCCTCTGGTCAGGAAAGCTAAGTGGACCCAGGCAAAGCCAAGGAGGCAAGAAAAGGAAGTAGATTGATAATTCGAGGCTGGTCCCAGCTGCAGTCCAGCTGGGAAGGTGTGAGTAGAAGAAGTGGAATACAGAAATCACTCTACATAAAAGAGCACAGAGGGGGGTTCCTCTAACAAGGTCAAAAAAAGACTGTTTCTGTTTCCAAAATGGCTCAAAATGTCTAAACGATATTGCCAAACCTTTCAGAACACAAAGCCTTCTACCTTTAAGAAGATGTTTCTTATCTAAGACCTTTCACCCTCTTAGGGGTCAAATGGTTGTCAGCAGGAAAAGCCAGGAAAATGCTGCCTGGATAAGGGAGAAAACGATTCCTCTGCCCTGGACACCAAGAACCACGTGAGTCCTGTTGTGAGTTTCACCCCTTGCTGCGAGGCCTGCACCTGCTGGCCCCATGCTGAATGGTGCTTCTCTGTTTGCACACTCACTCTCCATTTATAGCTGCCCAAATGTATGTATGTGAGTGTATGTGTGAAGTCTTGATGTTAACACGTTTTAGAGAACTTTCCATTTCTCTCCTTCACTCATTATGCTTAGACTTCAATTCCCAGCTCCAGTGGTATTTCTAGACTGCAGAGTTACAACACATCCTCACCCTCAGGGACTTTTTTTAAACTTTAAGCGCCAGCTACCACGGAAATGAAACACACCAGATGTGGACCTCTAATGCCTCATTTGTGATCCTCCTACGCACCTTCCCAAGGAACAGCCAGATTTCCTTCTGGAAACTGGGAAAGCCTTGAAGAGAGAGAGAAAAGGGGATGGGTAGGACAAGGGTCAAGCCATTTCATCTGATGATTGCAGTCACCTTTCAGTCTCCATGAATTCCATTTCTTCTTGAGAAAGGTTCGGGTTTACAGTGGGAAGCTCAGAGGTGATAGTGCGACCCAAGGCTGTCACTTCTGACATCACACAGCCTCTTCTCCAAAGTCCTAGTTCCACCCCAGCATCCTATGATTCCCTCCCGGTTCTCCTTACTTCTTCAGGGATGTTTTCTGGCAGTAACTGTCTTCTGAAGCTAATACATATCTGATTCAGTCAAGATTACAGTTTGAATTTTTTTTTACTGCACTTTAGTTCCTTCTAAATACAGAGGTCATCGTTCATGCTCTCTGCCATTATTGTGAAGATTAAATTGTTGACACACATCAAAATGCTTGGAAAGCACTCAATAAATGTTAACTGTTAAGGTCAGACTGTGTGTGTGTGCATGTGTGGAATTCTTTATATTTCAAATGTATGACTTCTCAGAGCCTTGAGTAGTTTCCATCCTGACAGCACAAGAGAGGAAAGTGGTTAGAACACGTGGAGAAGATTTACCACACTTTCTCTTTTTAAGGTTTATTCATTCATTTATCTGTTTATCTGAAAGGGAGGAAGGAAGCTAGAGATGACGGGGTGGAAAGGAGAGTGAGCTTTTCCGCCTTGTAGGCTGACTCCCCCAATAGCTGCTTCCAGTACCACATTTGGGCCAGGTGGAAGCCAGGAGCCAAGGATTCCATCCAGGTCTGCCTCGCTGAGTGACAAGGTCCCCAGTACTTGGGCCATCATCTGCTGCCTCTCGGGCACATTAGTAGGAAGATTTACTAGAAGTAGGACAGCCAGGACTTGGACACAGCCACATTGCAAGGGGCAGCTTATCCTGCTGTGCCACACTGCCAGCACTCTCCAAACTTAGTCTTTAATAATTTTTCCAACATTAGTGTTCCCCAGTATGCTTTTTGGAGCATGTCATAGAATACTCATTCCTCTAATCACATCAGTGTAAATCAGTGTCTCTCTTACAAGAAGATTCTTATTTCAAATTATTTGGTTTGAACAAGTTCCCTGCTCGGAGAGACTTATTGCTGCATTCATTTTGCCTAATTGCTGTGAAGAATTGCAATGCTGATTCCAATTGAGTTGGGCTGACAGGACCATCTGTTTCTTTGCCTTATAAAGATGTGCACCAAGTTATTTTCGAAGGAGGAGTTCCTGCCTTTGGATCAGACCCAGGAGCTCATCTTCCCCCCAGAACTCTTGGTAAGATTAGTTGATATGCTCACAAGCTTGGTTTTATAAAGGTACCAATTTCCTTCCTATGAAATCACCACACTGTGGAATAGTGTGGTCAGATCATTAAAGCCCACCTCCGTCACAATTCACAGGTCCCCAATAGACCCTGTGGACACAGGTGGGCCTGGACTGGGGCTACTCTCATGCCTCTCCTTGTGGCCACCCAGGCTGTGTCAACAGTCCAGATGACACAGCACTGCTATGCTTCTACTGGCCCCATGTAGCATCTTCAAGGTGCCACGACTACAGCCCTTCCCCACCCTTCCTTCTAGCAACAGCTCATCTTTCTTCTTGACCATTTTATTAGAAAGGCAGATTTACAGAGAAGAGAAATATCTTCCATCTGCCAGTTCACTCCCCAAGTGGCTTCATGGCTGGAGCTGGGCCAGTCTGAAGCCAGGAGCTTCCTTAGAGCCTCTCATGTGGCTGCAGGGTTTGGGGGCTTGAGCCATTCTCAGCTGCTTTCCCAAACCACAAGCAGGAAACTGGATCAGAAATGGAGCAGCCAGGGCATGAACCAGCACCCTTACAGGATGCTGTAGCTTGCAGGCAGATGACCAGCCAGCTTTCCATTTCTGAAAGAGTTCTGGTGTATCCATTCGTTTGTTCAACAGACACTGATACATGTGGCACCTTGCCAGGGTGGAATGTGCAAGAGGGAGCAAAGCTGACAGGAGGACCACCCTTGAGCAGCTTGGAATCTTGTGCCAGAGCTAGGTAACCAGCAGAATGACAGCTGAAAGTTACAGGGTGCTGCCAGCCATTGAGGGTGAACAGAAAAGGCTGGTGCACTGCAGGCAGTCGCCATTTTCAGTATCCCGGCTAGAGAAGACCTCCAAGAACATTGCCATTTGAGGAAGATCTGGTAGGCAGGAAGGTGGAGGCAAACATAGAGGTTTGTGGGCAGAAGCACTCCAACCGGCATGCCCAGCGGGTGCCAAGGTCCTCAGAGAAGGCGAACTTTGAGGGCAGGCCAACTTGAAGGGACACCACAAACACGGCGAGTGCCAGGAGCTCTGGACTCAGCTTTCTGCCTGCCAACCAGACACTAGCCAGGAGGCTGGACAGAGAAGGGGCATGTCCTTCGCCATTGTCCTGCTGTTTACCCAGGAAGGGTGGGGGACATCCTGCGACGTGGAGAGGGTGGGACCAGGCTGCCAGGAGAGGGATAGAAGATGTAGTAAGAATCAGTGGATTCTGGGTTTGTTTTGGAAGAAAATCCAAGCCGATTGGCTGATGGGTGTGAAGAGGGTGTGAGACAGGAGGAGGTAAGGCTGATCCCAGGGGTTTGCAAAACTGAAAGTGTGTCCTGGCCACTTATGAGGAGGGGATTTTTTCCTTTGTGAGAACCTATTTGGGAGAGATTTGCAAGGGATTAGATGTGAGGCCCTCAATTTTCAGTTAATTGAATGAGTAGTACCTGTCATGTATCTGGGGGAAACATCGAATACTCATTCCACCATAGGTTTGGTTGGCTTGAAGGCACTAAGTTGGAACAATAATGTGATTATGCTTGATTTTTAAAGCACAAGACTCAATTGCACTGACTTCGTCCAAGAGTCAATGATAGGTGTCAGCTTGTATTATTACGTGTCCCCCAAAAAGCAATCTAAGTAGAGAAATTCAAGAATTCGCTGGTGGATGCAGTGAGTTGCTTTGGCAGCAAGTGGACCCCAGAACACCTGAGAGGTTCCAGAGGAACATACCTCTTCCTGGGTTCCTGAACAGCCCTGGAAGACAGGTATGCAAGGACCACACAGGCTGCCTCTCACCCCTAGAGGATGGCGGAGAACCCAGAGAAACAAACGCTGACCTTCTGCGGAGAGCGAGTGACCTGGGTCTCCCCAGGGACCCTCCCGGCACTCCTGGAGCTGAAAGTGAGCCACCCCGAAGCCCCTGTCATCCTGGGCAACACCTCACTGGGTGAGTGACCGCAGGGGTCCCCATACCACCACCAACGCCCAGCTCAACTTCCTGTGCCCCGCTCCTTTCTTGGTCTACAAAAGCTACTTTTTCTGGATGAACCCTGCATCTTTTCTAATAAATCCTGCCTCCACAGTTAGACATGAGTATGCCCGAGGTGTACGAGACCCACCATCTTAGAATAGAGGGTGGAGTGCTAGAAGCTTCATGAAGTCACCTTGACCTTTTTGGCTCTTATTCAACACTGTGGAGACACAGCGGAAGTCTATAAAATCTGAAGGGTTGTATGAACAAACTGCACACTCAGTGACCCCAACACCCCCTTTAGGACCCCTAGCCCAAGCTGCATTTCCTCCCTTTTCCTTCCCTCTTGAAGGTGCTCATTAGCCGGAGCTTCACACTGGCTAACCTCTTCGTTTTTACCGTTACCACCTATGTCAGAATCCCTAAACAGACTGTCACTTAGTTTTGGAAATACTTAAACTTCACAAAAGCAGACTGACACTGCATTCTTGTCCTGTAGTTTGCTTTGTTCATTCACTCATGTTGCTGTATGTGATTCTGCTGTGCTCCACTGTGCAAACAGGGAACAATTCATTCATCTGGGTTTCCCCTAAGGGACAGCTGGGTGCGACAGCTCCAACTGTTTCCAAGTTTTGGCTATTATTAATATGTATCTGTGTTTTTCCTGGTGCCTATCTGAAAGAGTATTATAGGACCTTCTCATCATATTTACTATCCAAGTGCAGTGTGTGTGTGGTGTGTGTGGTATGTGTGTGTGTGTGTGTGTGTGTGTGTGTGTGTGTGTGTGTGTGTGTGTGTGTGTGGTGTGTTTTAAAGATTTATTTATTTTTATTGGAAGAGCAGGTCTACAGAGAGAGGAGAGACAGAGAGAAAGATCTTCCATATGCTGGTTCATTCCCCAAATGGCCACCATGACTGTAGTTGAGCCAATCTGAAGCCAGGAGCCTAGAGCTTCCTCCTAGTTTCCCACAAAGATGCAGGGTTCCAAAGACTTAGACCATCCTGAACTGCTTTCCCAGGCCACAAGCAGGGAGCTGGATGGGAAGTAGAGCAGCTGGGACACGAACAAGTAGCCATATGGGATGGCACACTAGGAAGTGGAGGATTAGCCAGTTGAGCCATCACACCAGCCCAGCAGTCTGTGTTTAAATGCATGATGTGGCATCTCATATGGGCACTAATTTATGGACTGGGAAAGCAATGAAGGATGACTCAACTCCTTGGGACCCTGCAACTACGTGGAAGACCCAGAAGAAGCTCCTGCTCCTAGCTTTAGAGGAATCAGCTCCAGCTGACATGGCCACTTAAGGAGTGAACTAGGGATGGAAGATCTTATCCTCTTCTCTCATAAATCTGCCTTTTCAATAAAAATAAATAAATGCATGACGTGGATCTTGGGAGAGTAGGCCAATCACACTGAGATGGCCAGGACATAGCTTCCCACTGTACATGCCTATCGTCAGGCATTAAAATCTGCTTCTGAATATTTTAGAACAAGATTTCAGCACACAGAAAAGGCATCTTCTCTTTCCTCATTATCCTTAAAATATATTTTCTCTCCAGGCCCTGCAATGAAATCTCAAGGACATTTTTACCCCGTTCTCCTCTCTCCTGCTAGGATCCCTGAGTTGAGGATGGTGACAAAAACAAGTGATGGTGAGTTCCTGGTGCTGCCAGGGCTGTGAGTGCTGTGTTATGTGCAATAAGGCTGATTACTCAGTCAAAAAGGGGCTGGGTGGGGTGGGAAGGAATGAATGAAGGTCAGGACTTTGGCTGTGATGAGATAGAGCAATAATGATCACTTTCTTAATTCAAGCAGCAAGGAGGTTGACTGAGCAGAGTTAGTCAAGGTTGGTTTGCAAGGTGCATTTGTTTAAGGGTCTCAGGGGATGGGGACAGAAGGGGACCAGCTGTAGCTTTGGCCTTCCTAGGATCCCACCCTCCTGGCCTCTGGTCATCCACCAACAAACATAGTTTGAATTGTGTGTCCTCAAACCTGCACTTCCCTGACCTGTTCCCTGCTTTTTGCAAGGGCCAGGACCCCTTCTGGGGCTTGCCCAACGTGAGGGTTTCCCAGGTTCCGTCTTGAGACAATTCAGAAAGCAAATCTGACCACGAGGTGGAAAAATGGAGGACTGTGCCTGGATTTAGCTGAAACCTTGCTTTGGCGGGAGGGAGAGGAGGGAAGGAGGGTGCTGTGGAAGGTGTGCAATGGAACTGGATAACAGGCCTGGGAGGGAGGGTAGGGCAGGAGGTCCAGACCCACTCCTTCCGGGTGTCATTTAGCCCTCCTCGCTGAAGCCTCTCCTTAGCACACTACCCTTTTACTAAGTCACTGGAAATAGGCTGCTCTAAGTGCAGGTCAGGGGAATCTTTCCTTCTGCCTCCTTGCCCAGAGTCCCTCGTAACTGTCCTTCAGAGGGCCGCTGGGGTACAGTTCACAATCCTGAAATAACAGATTCTCTGCCCATAGACAAAGAAACGGAGGCAAAAAAGGAAGTGGTTTTGTTCTCAGCTCCCCCAGGCTGGCTGGTGGTCAAACACAGCATGTCCAGCCCTCAAGCCAGAACTTTGCTGCGCCTGTCAGCCTTCCTCCCAGCCCCAAGGCCATTGGACTGGCTCTTTGGGTCTCCCCAACTCCCTCCCACCCACCCCCACCCCCGACCCCGCCACACACACACACACACACACACACACGCGCTCGCGCGCGCGCGCGCGCGCGCCCAAATCTGGTTGATTTCTGCAGGTTAAGCAGATCTAGATTCAGAAAACAGTTAAGCAAGCAATGTGCCTTCTTCCAGAACTCTTAAAATTAAAGCGTGAGTGCCCTCTAGTGGCACCTACAGTAATTTCCTTGTTTCTCAGATTTTTTTTTTCCCCCAAGGTCCCCAAGGGTAAAGGACATCACGGAGAAGGGTGGGGGAAGAAGGGAGACAAACGCAACCCGCGCCATCGCCCCTCAGCAACATCCCCAGGAACTAAATTCCTGGGACAGCTGTAACCTGGGCTCAAATAGTTGTCTACATTTTGCATGCTCACCAGTATTGCCTATACGTTAAGATCAGCATGCTTTGTGTGTGTCTCAAAATTGTTAGTAAGTGCTCCAGAAAGTCATTTCATAGACTCCATAGGACCACAGTCTGCAAGAAACAGGAGGAAAATTTGAAATCCCCTTTCTAAGGCTCAAAGCTGAAGCTCTCACACACCACTGCAATGCAGCCTCAATTTTTGTGATCTAGGATGGAGTCAGACATGAACGAAGTACCCTTGGTCTAACAGTTAGGATGCCCTCAGCCCCACATCAGAGTGCCTGGGATCAGTCCCCAGCCTCAGCTCCTGATCCAGCACCCTGTTAACACACACCCTGGAAGGCAGTGGTTGTGGCCCAAGTCGTGGGTTCCTGCTACCCGTATGGGAGACCTTAGTTGAATTTCTGGCTCCCGCCTTTGGTCCAACCCAGTCCCAAATGTCACAAGCACCAGGGGCAGTGAAGGGGGTATTCTCCATCTTTCTCTGTCTCTCAGTGACTGCAGTGAGCAGAACTTTTTCAGTAAAACCCAGCCCCAATTGACACAGTCACACAAGCAGGGGATAGCCAAGTGAAAGCCCACGATGGACCATCTGGACTCAGCCCGATTTGAAAGCGTCCAAGAACCCAGACAGCAGAGCAGACAACTGGCATTTCCCTCTCCGCTGGAGTACAACTATCCTTTCCTCACTAGGTTGTGTGCTGCTTCTCACCTTAAGAATAAGAGGAAGTCTGTTTCTGGTTTCTTCTCTACAAATAAGCTCCAGTCTAACTAGATGACAGGAAGCAAGGTTGGTGTTTCCTAGCACTTCTGCAAAGGCAAAGACCACATGTATGCAGAAGCTGAAGACCAGGCTCCAGTGGGACATGTGAGGAGGAAGCAGAGGTGGCAGCTGGAGCGCCTTCAGGGGACACTGAGTCAGGGACAGGTGAGGGGTCCAGAGACCTGGGCACCTCAATTACTCCTAGACAAGGTCTAATTAGCAGCCAGGTCATTAGAACAGCTTGGGCTTTTCCTGACCTGTTAAGTTAGAGAAGCAGTAGGGGTGCTGTGTGTGTTACAGAGGTAGGGAAAGTTGTGCCAAGTTCACGTTCAAGACTGGTAAAAAAAAAATGCAGCCAGGCACAGGGTGAAATATCCTCAAAGAGTATTCAACACAAGACAAGGCAAAGCCCAGCCTGAAATGTGCTAAAAAGATTCACCTCTTCACCTCCGTTAGAGCCCAACCCTGCTGGTGATGTCAACCCAAGCCCCACACACCAGGGTGTCAGCCAGCAAACCCCAACGAACTCTGGGCGTTGACTCCAACAGGTGTCCAAGGCTTCGGATGAGGTCAGAGACAACCTCAACTTAACAGCTGATCTGAACCCTTGCATCCTGACCCTGCAGGTCCTCCCAAGCGTGGCCGCAGCTGTTGTCCATGGCTTGAATGCCCTCCTGGCTAGTGAGCCAATGGCATTACTCCATCCTCCAGCCACTCTCTTCCTGCTTCTCTGGCCCCTCTCTAGGAACCCTCAACTTCCTTACACCCGGCAGTGCCCACCATGATGCCTGGCACAGCACCTTACCCAGGCTTGGTTTTCTCTCGTTGCCTGACACTCCTCACAGGGCTGACGGCTGAAGATTTTGAATTTCAGGCACAAATCCTGCAACCAAAGCAATATTGTTCAGACAATGACCCAAAGATTTCAGTGAATTTGCCATTGTTTTCTATTACTTTTTAAAAATCTACTTATTTTTTATTTTCCTTGAGAAGCAGAAAGAAACAAAGATCTTCTACCCACTGATTCACTCCTCACAAATGCCCATGGCAGCCGGAGCTGGGTCCAACTGATGCTAGGAGTCAGGAATTCAGTCCAAGTTTCCCCATAGGGTGGCCAGGATCCAAGTGCTTGGGCCATCACTGGCTGCCTCCCCAGATGTGCATCAGTAGGAGGCTGGATCAGAAACCTGGGTGTTCTGTGTGAGATATGGACATCCTGAGTGGCATCTGCACCAAATGCCCAGCCCAGATCTGTGTGATAGCTTCTCCATCATCAGTCAAGAAGCTATCCTGGAAGGTTCTAGTAGGGTCTGTCTACCACCTGTGAGTTGCTGTTGTCAATTATGCTTGCTAGCCTTTATTTCCCCAAATCTAACCAAAGAAGAATACAGACTAACTCTAGTATTCAAATCTTGCAGTACAGAAAGACCCACCACCTAGAGAGCCTTACAAAAAGCACTTTGCCCAGAGACCTCGGTGTAACAGATCTGGGAGGGCATGTCTGCTCTCTGCAGCCAGCAGGAGAAAGGCCTGCATGGACTGAACACCAAGGCCTTGGTGTTGTGATTATAGTTCAACTGTTCCTCCCACTCCACTAAAAACAAAGGTCATTTTCTTGCCAGGTCTGACAATCGGGGCTGGCTGTAGCCTGGCCCAGGTGAAGGACATCTTGGCTGAGAGCATAGCTGAACTCCCAGAGGAGCAAACACAGACCTACTGTGCCCTGCTGAAGCACTTGCGGAGTCTGGCGGGTCAGCAGATCCGGAATCTAGCGGTACGTCCCCTGGTTTCACTCCCTGGGCACACCAAAGCTCTCCATCCTGTTGAAAGGTTGAAGGATGCATTGGTAGACTCCGTGTGATACACACAATGGATATGGTAAATGATATTTAAAGCAGTTTCATAAAGTATTTAGAAGCACATTCGGAATCAAGTTCAACAGAGTGATGAAGCAACAACACAGGTGAGCAAAGAACATTGTGGTCTGCTGATCTTGTGCAAAGTGTGTCAACATTTATTCTTGGGCTGCTTTAGCAGAAGTGTAGGTTCTAAAACAAAGAAGGAGGCTGACTCTTCTCTGGACAGTCCACACCACCAGAGAATAATGATGAGAAGAAAGGAAAAAGGGATGTCGTTTTGGTTCCCAAAACTCGTATGTTCTCTCTTTCCTATAAACCCCAGATGGTGTTTGGGAAATTCTTGGGATGTGAGCAAGCTGGGAGGGACAAGTCTCCTTTGAGAAAGCAATCAGGTGAGTTCAGAGTGTTCTGCATCCTGTTGGGAGCCCTGCACGGACACACTGGAACCCAGCAAGGAGACAGGTGGCAGGAGCAGGTATGTCTGGAGAGAGAGAGCAAGAGAGAAAGAGAAAGATGCCTTCAAATAGGGAGAACATAGGTGCATTTGTAGATGATCACACTGTGCAGAACAGGACTGACCCATGTGAGCCTGCATGGGGAGGTGGTTTTCAGCTCGAAGGAAACAAGGGAACTTTAAAACTGAGTTGTTGGTGGGACTGGGGGTCCCTCCCTGTCTCTAGCCATGTTCCAGCCCAGAGAGCACGCAGCCCCTGGGCAGTGACCACAGATTCCCTCCATCTGTGGGGAGGAGGGCATTGAGATAAGGGGATGGTCATTTCCCTCCCAGTTCTGGGGTGCTACAGGCTCAGTCCAACCCAGCAGTGGGCCAAGGGCTCAAAGGGCGATCTTCTCCCCTGCTGTAAATGTCCCAGAACCCTGGACTGGCCCACATGGAGAGCCTGTAGGCCCACGGCAGCACAATTAACACCGACCATCTGCACTGTAGCCATGTCCAACCTGGGCCATGGAGAGTCAGAAATGATTGATGAGCCTGACTTCCTAGGCTCAGATCCTCAGAGCAGACCTTGGTCAAGTTCCAGAACTTCATGCTTTGTATCACCAGAAACCATGGTGTCCCTCTTGCCAGGTCGTCTTGAGAATGGAATAGATACAAAGGGACTTCAAAAGTCAAGAAGAAATAGAATTAAAGGATAAGTTTGTTTTAGTGAGAAAAAATTGAAATGCATGCATAGTTTTCTCACAACACACATCTGCCATGGAATTTTTAAAGCTTTCTCATATACATAAATTATTAAAAATTTTTGCACCAAATAAACATATTTAAACTTACTAATTTGAAAGGAAAAGAGAGAAAGACAGAAAGAGATTTTCCATCTGCTGATGCATTTCCCGATATCCCAATAGCTGGGGCTGGGCCAGACTCACTGCAGGAGCCAAGAACTCAATCCGGGTCTTCCATGTGAGTGACAGAACTCGACTCCTTGAGCTGTCACCACTGCCTCCCAGGGTCTACATCAGCAGGAAGCTGGAATCAGGGACAGAGCTGGGAATTGAACCCAGGTACCCCAACAGGGAACACAGCTATCCAACCAGTAGCTTCACCACCAGGCCGAATGCTTGCCCCTGGCAACAAGTTTATAATGATTTTGAACTGAACTTTGTCAAATGTTCTTTACTGTAACTATTGAGAAAATCATGATTCATTTTTCGTCTTTTTTCTGTTTACATGATGGCTTCCATGGATTTTCTAATATGGCATGCCTAAAGAAATCCCACGTGGTCATGGTATCTTAGATATCTTTATATATTACTACCCCTAACCCCTACACTCCTTCTCCCCTAATTCCATTTCTCCCCTGATTCTTTGGCATGGCGAATGTGTCAAGAGGTTAGACAGATGCTAGTCAGGTATGTCTTCACTTTTGGCAAAACCTCTTCTTAAAGAACCCATTGGGCCCTCTCGGTGGCTGAACTGAAGCCCCTCTGCCAAGCAAAGAAGAACTGGCCTCGGATCCTTTCTCTGCCCCATCGCAGCCACTGGGAGGACCAAGAGCAAGTGGCTGTGGGGTGGAGGAGTTGAGACTGTAACCAAGTTATAATTCTCTCCTTAGTCTCTAGGGGGACACATCATAAGCCGCCATCATTTTTCAGACCTGAATCCTATTCTTGCTGTGGGCAACGTGACTCTCAATCTGATATCTGAAGGTAAACTGCCCTGGGACCCCCTAGACTGAGTCTAAACATTTAAAGAACTTCATCTTTATACATATACAAACACCTTAAGAAATTGTTTTGTATCAGAGTCCGGGTTCTTAACAATCAGTTTACTAAGGGGAGCAAACGTCCTCACCGCTTCCTTGCTGTTGGCAACAAATGGACCCCCAGGACAGTGTCGTAGGCCCAGGAGCCGGCTTCACTGGTGCAGAGGATACTGAGCACTTCTCCGCACCCACGTCCGGACAGGGCAGCGCCCTCCAGCTGTTCCTGGTTGGGATCTTGCAGACATGGCATTTCTTCTGCAGAAGGGGCGCGGCAAATTCCTCTCAACGAGTCTTTCCTTGCCCGGTTGGCCAGCGCGGACCTTAAGCCAGAGGAAATTTTGGAATCAGTGTACATTCCTCACTCACGCAAGGTCAGAGTTCCCTTGGCTCCGTTTGCGCGTCGTGTTTCCCTGTTCATAGCTCAGTCCAGATCATTAGAAATTGGAAAGCAGATGGCAGGACAGTAACTTTGCTCCCCCCACCCCCACCCCCCCAAAAAACCTGTTTTCTGTCCCGCTGTGGATAGCCTAGCACCCAGAGGCCGTCTTGAGTACACTAGTACACTGGCCACCGGGTATGGACTTGGCACTATTGTTATAGCTGTGGGGTGAGGCCTGCAGAGGCCCCCAGAGGGCTGAAGATTCCAGATCTCTGGCCGTGGGCTGGGGCTTCTCTACCTGACCCGCAGCGGGTACAAGGCCAGAGCTAGGCCTCCACGCTCCCCTCCAGACACCCAGCGGCTCCCAAGACGTCCAGTTGTTGACAACTGGGTTCCTTGGGGGTGATGTGGTCATGCAGCTGGCTAGGGATAGACTTCTGTTTGTTTAGGGGTTTTGTTTTGTTTAGATTTACTTGTTTATTTGAAAGGCAGAGTTACAAAGAGAAAGGGAGACACTGAGAGATCATCCATCCAGTGGTTCACTCTCCAGATAGCCACAATGGCAGGAGATAGGCTGATCCAAGCCAGAAGCGAGGCACTTCTTCCGGGTCTCCCATGTAGGTGGCAGGTGGCAGGGACCCAAGCAGGATCCCTGCATGATCATTATTGGTGTTTGCTTTGGAGTAGAAACTGGAAATGTGCTGCCATTCAAGTGCACATGTGTCGAAGGGCAGCACACAGGAAATGAAGCAGATGCAGGTAGGAACACGCAGGGGTACAGCAAAGATGGATGTGTCCAGGGTAACAGCTGGCCACATGGTTCTGACCCAGGCCTACCACGTCCCGGCACAGGAGGCTCAGCTGAAGCAACTGTCACCTCCTCAAGACTCCCATAGCCACCACTGAAAAGTTCTGTTTGGTTCCTTCTTGAGTTTTGCCAAGTGAGAAAGTGGTCATCTCTACAAGATAGGAAGTGTGCTAAACCACCTTGTTACCTTTCAGAAACCCTGTGTTAAGAGGGTTCCTTTAACCTCAGGACAGACAAAGGCCGCTGAGAAGTGAAGGAGGGAGGGACACATAAGAGTGTTTCTAGGTGTGTGTTTCCACAGCATCCTGTGTATCCTGGCCTCAGAGGAAAAGCAAGTGGGAGCGGGGAAAGGGTGTGTGTATGTGCACCTAGTAGTGTATTGGCTCAACGGGCTAATCCCCCACCTCCAAGTGCAGGCACCCACGTGGGTGCCAGATTGTGTTTCAACTGCTTCACTTCCCATCCAGCTCCTTGCTTGTGGTCTGGGAAAGCAGTGGAAGATGGGGCAAAGCCTTGGGACCCTGCACCTGCATGGGAGACCCAGGAGAAGCTCCTGGCTCTAGTTCAACTCAGCTCTGGTCATTGCAGCCACTTAGGGAGTGAACCAACATATGGAAGATCTTTCTGTCCCTCCTTATTTCTGTAAATCTTTCTTTCCAATAAGAATAAATAAAATCTTAGAAAGAAAAAAGGAAGGAAAGATGGAAAGAAAGAAAGGAAGAAAGAAAGAAAAGTAAACAGGATCCTGGGCTCTTGAGGGTGTCCAGGGCTTTGGGGCTGGGCCCTTGCAAAAATGCCATGTTCACTTTGAACAAGGAAGCCACTAGTGCCTGTTTATGGTGCCAGCCATCCCCATGTATGTCCCCTTGGATTGAGTCTCCATGAATAATTGGAGACACCACAGAGCCTAAGCCCTTGGTATTAATGGCCCCACACGGTTTGTGTCTCTGCAGTGGGAATTTGTGTCAGCCTTCCGGCAGGCTCAATGCCCTCAGAATGCCTTGCCTGAGGTGAGTGCTGGCATGCGCGTCCTGTTCAGAGAAGGCACTGACACCATTGAGGACCTGAGCATGGCCTATGGAGGCCTGGGGCCCACCACAGTCAGCGTACAGAAATCCTGCCGCCAGCTCCTGGGGAGGTGAGAGACCAGGCCTGCACCACAAGAGGGATACTGGACATTGAGAAAAACAACTGGAAACCTGGCTCTGGCCAGAGCTGATGGCAGCATGGGGAGATGGGCACGCCCACGTGCTTATTCTCTTTGTAATCTTGCTGAAGGAGTTAGACCTCATTTGACTTCTGTTCATTGGATGCCATCTTTGTGTGAGGAATCCAACCCAAATGGCCCAGCCTGAGGTCAGCCAGGATGTGGTTTTTCTGTGCCCCTCCCACCCCAAGCTATCATCTTCAAGTGTTGATCCACACTCAAGCAAGCATCCATAGGGCAACATCCAAGATTCCCATTGTGGGGTATACCCAGTTCCTTCCTCAGCATCCAAGTCTTGAGTCCTGATTTGTTCATAATTGATCCCAAGGCTATGTTTCTTTGGTACCCAGTTCTATCCTGTTCTAGCCTGTTCCACAATGTTCATGGCCAATGCTGCAGTGAAATTGCCCCCATTTTCAACCAGCTTTCATCCTTGGAGCACTCAACACAGTCTCCCCAGTCCTTGGTTTTTCTGAGGGGCTTGATTGGGTGATTTCTAAGCTCTCTTCCTCCAAAGGTAACTGAGGTTTCTGAAGTATCACTGACTGCCATCCATCACATGATGTCACATGAGGGAGACTGCCCTCTAACTGACTCCCTGTTGCTACCAACTCTTCCAGGCGCTGGGATGAGCTGATGCTGGATGAGGCTTGCAGGCTGCTTCTGGATGAGGTCTCCCTCGTGGGTTCGGCTCCGGGTGGCAAGGTGGAGTTCAAGAGGACTCTGTTGGTCAGCTTCTTCTTCAAATTCTACCTGGAAGTTTTGCAGAAACTGAAGACTCTGGTGAAGCAGTGGAGTGGGTCTGTAAGTGTGAATACTGATCTTTAAATAATTTTCTGGAGTTTTTAACTGTGAACTTCTAGAATAAGTTACACAACTCAAAACAGTCTCATTCTTGCCCTTGTCATATCTCCCCATGACCACACTTACAGCTTCATCTCATTCAGGACTCTGATCCTTAACCACGCCCTGCACAGCCCACTGTGTTTTCGTTTTTTCTAATTTTTGTTTTGAGAGACAGATTTTTTTCAAAATCTATTTTTCTTTTTAAATTTTTATTTATTTATCTATTTATTATTTTATAATATACTTCCTTAGGTCTAGGATTTCCTCTCCCAATCCTAAGTTCCCACCTCCCCATACTGATTTCCCCTATATTATTACAATGATACAGTCCTTCATAAGTGGCCAAAAGTCCATCATTCTGCTATTTAAGTGTGTCCTGACACTGAGGTATGGACAATAGCAGAGAGTCCAGCATCCTATTGTCAAAATATACTTAACAGTTTCATTGGGAGTCCATCTTTGATTTGGAAGTAGAGATGCACACTGCATATCTTCACATCTGGATTTGATAGCCTCTATTACACAGTTACCATACATTCCTTTAAATTAAAAGCCATAAAATAAAATCAGCAGCAGGAAGAAAAATAGAAAATTTACAACAACATGGAGTTAAATAACATGCTACTGAATGACCAATGTCTCACTGAAGAAATGAAAAAAGAAAATAAAAAATCTTGAACAAAATGATGCTACTGTATGACCTATGTGTCATTGAAGAAATTAATAAGAAAAAAAGTTTTTTGAAGAAATGAAAATAAAAACAAAAATATTAAAACTCATGAGATATAGTAAAAACAGTATTGAAATAAGTATTTATAGGGCTAAAGTCCTCACTTTGCACATGCCAGGATCCTTTATGGGCACCAGTTCATGTCCCAGCAGCCCTAGTTCCCATCCAGCTCCCTGCTTGTGGCCTGGGAAAGCAGTCGAGGATGGCCCAAAGTCTTGGGACCCTGCACCCACATGGGAGACATGGAGAAAGTTCCTGACTCCTGGTTTCGACTCAGCTCAGCTCCAACCGTTGCGATCACATGGGGAAAGAATCAGCAGACAGAAGATCTTCCTCTCTGTCTCTCCTCCTCTCTGTATATCTGACTTTCCAATAAAAATAAATAAATCTTTTTTTAAAAAATATGTATAATATGTATAATATGTATAATATCAAGTGCTTATAAATATAGAAATATCTCAAATAAATTATTTAATAATGCATCACAAGGACTTAGTTAAAAAGAAAAAATGAACAGGAAGCAAGAAATGATTAAAAATCACAACAAAAATAAATGGAATTAAAACTAAAGAACTCTAAATTAGCAACAAGAAAGAGCCAATTTTTAAGAAGATGAGCAAAGCAGACTTTTAGCCAGACTAACAAAAAAAGCAAGAGGGAAAAATCAGGTAAAATTAGAGATGATAAAGAAAACATCATAAGGAACTAGTGAGGTGATCTCTTCTTGTTGAATGGATCCTTTGATCATTATGTGATGTCTTTTTCATCTTTTTCTTTTAAACATTTTCCGTGTCAGAGTCTATGTTGTCTGATTTAAGAATGGCTATACCAGCTAGTTTTTCTTTTCTATTAGCCTGGAATATCTTTTTCCATCCTTTTACTTTCAGTTTCTGTGTATCTTTGTTGGTGAAATGTGTCTTCTGTAGGCAACAGATAGATGGGTTTTGTTCTTTTATCCAGTCTGCTAATCTATGACGCTTGATTAATGATTTTAAGCCATGTACATTGAGTTAATAAATACAGGTAGTGATTTGATCCTGTCATTTTAGCAATGAGCTGTTCATTGTTTGATTTAGTCTTCTTTTGTTGTTTTATTGGGACGTTCTCCACGTTTGTCTCTGGTTTTGATAGGTGCTGTTTCTTTTCTCTGTCAATGGAACATTTTTAAGTATCATTTGTAGGGCAGGTCTGGAAGAAGTGAATTCTCTGAGCTTTTCTTTATTGTGAAAGAATTTTATCTTATTTTTAAAAACAAAGGAAAGCTTTGCTGGGTAAGTATTCTAGGCTGACAATTTTTTCCTCTTAGATTCTGGAATATTTCACTCCATTCTCTTCTGGCTTGTACCTGTTTCTGTACCCACTTCCTTGGGCTCTGCCACTCTGCTTCTGCTCATGGTCAAATCAAGCAAATCAGCAGAACAGGCAGTTTCTATGCCTGGGTTCACCTCCTGAGCTCCCAGTGAACTCCTCTTCCCACCTCGCTGCTGGTGGAATGTCAGTCTCCACTGGGGTATCTGCTCACTACAACACTGCTCCACTGTCTCTGCTGCTTCCCCATGTCCACCGATCTCCAGATGTCCCTCTGCTATCAACCTGGCCTCTCTGTTTCCTGGGAACCATGGGCTCTCTGCTTCACCCTGGCTAATGATTGGCCATCTGTTTAAATGTGTCCTTACCCTGTTCCACCATTCTGTTTCTCTCCTGAAAGATTTTTACAGAGAGAAGACACGGAGAGAAACCTCCCACCTGCTTGTTCACTCCCAAATGGCCACAATGGCCAGAGCTGAGTTGATCTGAAGCTAGGAGCTTCTTTCTGGCCTCCATGAACTCAGGCTTAGGGGCCCAAAGCCCTGGGCCATCCTCCTCTGTCTTCCTAGGCCATAAGCTGGGACCTGGCATTCCATATGGGTGCCGGTTCATAACCCATATGGAATGCCAGGGCCTGCAGGGTAAGAATTAAACTGTTATGTCACCATGCTGGCTCCAGTCCACTCTTCCTAAAGCATCTAAGTTCCACCGCCTCAAATGGAGACCTCTTACTCACCCACCATATCCCAGGAGAATCCCTGCTTGCGTTTGACCTCTGCATCTAGAAGTTCACATGAACTGCCTTGAGTTCACGTGAACCAGCTCAAAAAACTAACCAGCTTCTCTTTGTTGTGAATCAATTCTCAGGGCAGCCGTCATCCCCCTGAAATTCCAGACTGGTTCCTGAGTGCCCTAGAAGATTTCCCAGTCACAATGCCACAGGGAATTCAAGAGTTTCAGGTCAGTGAGCCTAATGGGAACCCAGAAACTACGGGACATGTTCAGCCTCTGCAGGAAACGTGAGCTCTCAGGGTTGCAGTGTTTGTTCTGACTCTCTGGTTGTTTCTAGAACTTGACTCTTGAGAAATCTATGGCAGGTTGGAATTCAATGTCAAGTCTGAGCTGCTGCTAAATGGACTCAAGGCTGAGTCACCTGACTAATCAACAGACTAGCAGCTGCAGTCTGTGAAGTGGTACTGTTTGGTCATTTGCTTGATATTTACTCAGAAGAACAGTTGAGCCAGAAAGTTCAGCCTCTGGCCCTGATGGCAAATGTTTAATCTCAAGCCAGCAAACAAGAATCCTACAAATGACTGAACTCAGCTTTCTGGAAAGACAATTCAGAAGACACTATTCTCATTAGAGCATGTTCCCTCTCCTTCCCTACCTGTACAAACATAGGCAAGCATGCATACAAATAAGCATGCACACACACACACACTTACATACATACATGCTCATATACACACACGTACATATACATATACAAACTCTCTCTTCCACACACACGCACATCTTCCCTGAGAACAAATTTATTCCCTCCACAAAGAATCCTCCTGCCTTGTTTTAAACTCCTAGCATAGCCTTTGTGCTACTCACAGAAGCACCAAGACACATTTAGATCTGTGAGGAGAGTATGGCCTCATCCTGATCCCTTGATCAAGTCAATACTCTAGCCTAGATTTGGGAGCCCTCAGAAACTGTATCATGTTCAGCCTGTCCACTGGTAATCCTTTACATTTCAGGGAGAAGGGTGTGGGGGACCACTTGGGAAAAGGAGATAACAAAGGAAGAACTGGGGTGCTCTTTCACCTACTTTACTGTTTTGCTGAAAGATTGGCTCATCCGAGGCATTTCTATAGAACTGAAATAATAATTCCCCAGCCTGATTGCAACATTAAACAGGCACAGCACCATCTGACCCACTCCAGTGTTCATAGCCCCAGGGTTGCTGTCTGGTTTCTCAATCTCAAGACAGGAGTTTGGGTGACTGGCCAAGCCACTTCTGAAAGCCACAGGCTTCTAGGGCAATTCTTGCTTTCCTCTACAGAGTGTGGCTCCTCACCAACCTCTCCAAGATCCCATTGGACGCCCCATCATGCACCTGGCAGGTCTTAAACATGCCACGGGCGAGGCCATATTCTGCGATGACATCCCTATGGTGGACAAAGAACTTGTCATGGCTTTGGTGACCAGTACCAGGGCTCACGCAAAAATCATGTAAGTCAATGAAAAGCTTTCAAAAATCTTTAAAAAGACTTCCTGAAGACTCCCTCAGAGGAATGTACCCTACAATGCCCTGATTCTACAGATCCTAAAATTAAAGAGAGAGAGAGAGAGGAAAGGCAACCCGCACTAGAAGGAAAGGAGAGTAACTGGAAATGACCAACAGGAGAGAGAATAGAAGTCACAGTTATGGGCTCCCTTGTCTTGCATCACCCTGCTGCAGCCTCTGGCATGGCTCTAGGGAGTAGCTCTGCAGGTGATAGAGCATTGACACACCTGCTCCAGTACTAAGGGATAAATGGTCATTGTCCTAAGCTTCCCAAGAATGTCCCTTGTTAAAACTACACTGTCCATTTCGCAGCTTGCTCCCTTCATAACAGCTTAAGGTTTGCCTCCTAGCCTTGCAAGACATCTCCTGTACCCCAGTTCATGGCAGGTGCATTCTGATTAACCGAGACCTAAGCTGATTTGTTGCCATATATTTTTATTTCAACTGTACTGTAACCTTCCCTCACAATTGGGGCCCTGAAATCTTGCCTTTACATTCCTCAAATATCTCTCTTTGTTCAGATCAATTGATTTTTCTGAGGCCCTTGAACTTCCAGAGGTGGTTGATGTAATAACAGCTGACGACATTCCAGGCACCAATGGTACTGAAGATGACAAGTTGTTGGCCGTCAATGAGGTACGACTTTGGGCAGGTCATCACCAAGGTGCACCTGCAGCCAGCTCCCCAAGCCTTCTAATCCTTCTCCACTCTAGCATCTTTATTCAATCCTGCTCCTCTGAGATAGGAGAGCAGCATAATGAAAAGGAGTCTTACTGCAGAATAGCAACAAGTCCTAATTCTGACACTATGTGTTCCTGAGTCCTCTTACACAGAGTTCAGTCCACTGAGCAACTGATTTGTAGCAGGATAGAAAAACCTAGAAAAATCTAGAGACTACAAAAAATTATAGACACTCCCACTTGTTGTCACTGAACCACCCCTTCCTGATCCACCCCTTCCTCAAGTCACAACTGCCTTCACACACTCCATTTTTAATTAATACAATTGATTTTGCCCATTTGACCTTCCCATTAGAATTCACCAGTCATCCACTGAGTACTTGACTGGCCCCGTTCAAGCTCCTTCACTTCCACTCACAAGTTCTCTCACTCTTTGAGAGTCTTTATCGTTCAAACAGGAGTCACCACCACACCTGTTTTGCTGTGTCATCATGAGATCTCAGAGCCTGGAGCACTCGTGGAATGCCCAACACTCTGCCTGGCATGTGGAGGCTGTCACTGAGTGCCAGTGGGGCAGCCACATCATCGATAGTCCCATGCAGACTTTCTGCCTCAGCCTTGGAATGAACAGCTCCAGATAAAGAGCTGGATTCGTAGCTGCTGGGCTGCTTGGGCTGCCATCACGAAGTCCTGCAGGCAGGGCAGAGGCAGCTGTGATGGACCACCCTCCAGTTCTGAAGGTTGAGTACAAACTCAAGGTTTCCCTGGAGGCCTCTTCTCCAGGGTATGCACAGCCAGCTTCTCCACACAGCATCCCTGATGGCCTTTTCCTCCACACAGCATCCCTGATGGATTTTCCACATCTGTGGGAACACCAGTCATATTGGATCTCATTTAGCCTGCCTCACCTCTGTGAAGATCCTGTATGCAAATCCAGTCATGACAGGGTTGGTTCAACATAAGAACTTTGTAGCAATGCAATTCAGCCCACTATGGGAGCCATAACATACACGCACGCGCGCGCGCGCACACACACACACACACACACACACACACACTTATTTAAGCCAATATCATAGTGTACTAAATTAAGTCTCCTGCCTCTAGCACCAGCAATCAATATGGGCATCATTTGGTGTCCCATCTGATCCATCTCCCTGCTTATGGTCTGGGAAAGCAGTGGAGGATGCCGCAACTCCTTGGGCCCCTGAAGAAGACCTGGAAGAAGCTCCTGTCTCCTGGCTTCAGATCGGCCTCACTCTGGCCACTGCAATCATTTGGGGAGAGAACCAACAGATGGAAACTATCTCAAATAAAAATAAAATAAATACTTTTTAAAAGTACTCATCTGAAAAGCAGAGTAACAGAGAGAAGGAGACACACAAGGAGATATCTTCCAACTTCTGGTTCATGCTACAAAAGGCCATAAATGACCAGGCTGAAGCCATGAGACAGATATTCCATCCTGGTGTTCCACATAGGTAGCAGTTGCCATCTTTGGGTGCTTTCCCAGGGGCATTTGCAGGAAGTTGGATCAGAAGTGGAGTAATCAGAACTAGAACCAGCACTCTAACATGGGACACTGGCCTTATAAGTACTGACTTAACTTACTGAACTGCAGTATGCTCACATCCCCCCCAAAATACTTAACTTTTAAACTCTAAAATAATATGAAGTAATACATGTGAGTAACACCACAGAAGACACAATAGATACATGTCACAATCAATTTCACATCCACTCTGGGGCTAACAGTCACTATGAAAAACAGTCAACGAAACTGTCTAAATAATTTTTCATCAACTTTTTTTGTCCAAGTACATGAGGTTGAATGCAATTACAAAATTGTTATTACCTAACAAAGAGATCTAAGATATCAGTAACTAGTAAGATCAGGCTAAGCTGTTCTCACCTGGAATTTTCTGAGGACTGTGTGTACTTTCCATAGGTTCATTGTGTTGGCCAGATCATCTGCGCTGTGGTTGCAGAGACAGATGTGCAGGCAAAGCGAGCAATTGAAAAGATAAGGATCACTTATGAGGATCTGGAACCCGTGATCTTCACCATTGAGGTAGGCACGAATGGCAGGTCTCACCCTAGGGTTGTTGAGTCAATCATCTGTGTAACTATGTTAACACAAGATGAAGTCAGGGACCTGTTTTTCTTCTTGACATTGGCTGGCTCTGGAAAAATCAGCTTTCTTGCAAAGGTACTATTTGTATGAACTGCAAATTTGCGGGGCTCCAAGGAACAGGAAAAAAATAGAAGTTTGTCTTTCATGTTCAAAAAGTCTCTGCTGTGCCTTATTCTGTTTTGTACTGTTTTAATGGAATTTTTGAGATTGGGTAACATTATTCACAGAAATTCATTTCTCAGGGCTCTGGAATTTGGTAACCCCTAGGCTGAGGGATCTCCCATGGCAGAAGACAGAAGAGTTAGAGTGCACATGGTCCTACATGAGAAAGAGTGAGAAAGTCAGTGAGCAGGGGAGAGTGACAAACTCACAGTAACAAAACAATCCCACATTAACATTGCCCTATTCCTGAGGCAAAGCCCTGCTCACCTCTTCAAGTCCCACCTGTCAAGGCTGTGGCGTTTAGGATTCAGTTTCCAACACATGGAACTTTAGTGGACCCTGACCCTGGGAGGCTGCAGGTGATGACTACAGCACTTGGGGCTCTACCAGCTGTATGAGTTACCTGGATTGGGTTCCAGGTTCCTGGTTTTGACCTGGTCTGACCCTGGCTATTGCAAGCATTTGGGAAGTAAACCAACAAATATGCAATCTCTTCTCTCTCTCTCTCTCTCTCTCTCTCTCTCTCTGTTTCTCTCTCTGTTTCCCTTCCCTTAAAGTATATGTAAGTAAAAACAAATTCTTCTATGACCAAAATTGGATAACAAAATAGTCATATCACCAGCATTGGTTTATCCATCCATTGAGTTATTTATACGTCTATATATGAAAGGCAGTGTAGGTTAGTGGCTACAAAGCACAAGTCCTAGACCCGAACTGCTGTTGTTAAATCACAGCTGCACTACTTACTAGCCATGTGACCTCAGACAATCTCTCTATGCCATGGTGTCCTCATCCGTAAAATTGCAGTAATAATATACCTTTCATGAGCTTGTCAAAAGTAGTTAATACTTTGTGAAGTGCTTAAGACAGTACCAGGCATGTAGCTAGTGCTCACTAAATACTAGCACAACATATGTCATGATACTGTAACATAGTCACATGATACATTTACAGTGTAATAAGAAACATGCTTCCATATGTACCATGCACATGTTACCTATTATAAAATAGAAAGTGAACAGTTCTACTGTATTTGTAATATTTTGTTGCTTTGAGAAGTCAGGGATTCATCACTGGTCAGCATATTTAAACCAAGCCTGGACTTGAAAACTGCCTCTCAAGTTTGTTTGAAGCTTGGCTAAGGGAAAGTTAAATAACCTCCTTCAGTTCCATTTCTTTGCCTACAAAATGAAGGTAATAACAGAATCAGTGTGAGAGTAGAGACAAACATACTGTTACTGCGCAGGGCCTAACACAATGCAAGCTCTCAAGTAACAACAGCTACTCTCTGCTCCTGTAATATCAGCAAGAAAGACCGTGGAATCTCAGACTATTGGCAACAAAGAATACAGGAGACAGGGGTTGTTGGAAAATCAGCCTGGGTCTAAAGGATAAGAAATATCAGTGATTCCTTGCATATAAAATCAATTGGTGCTACTGCCAGGGGAAAAGAAAAGAAAAAAAAAACGTAGAATGAAGGATTAGAAAGATACTTGTGAGCAATGCCAAATATCAAAGAAATTAACATATGTCCTACAGTGTCTACTGAGCTTTCTTCCCCAGAGAGGTGGGAGTGTCTGTGTTTTCTCCTTCAGTTCAGCCACAGTTTTTTCCAGACTGCAGAGTTGGAGGTACTTGTACATGAGCTACTTAGGCAGTCTAACCCATGTGGTTTTCTTTAAGGAAAAGGCTTAAAAAGGGGGGGGGGGACCCTCCCCCACCCATAATGCATTTGGATCTGCCACTTGTTCCCTGAACCATCCGCACCAAAAATGAGAGGCAACTAGTCATCATCCTGTACTATCATGGTGCGCTCCAGATCTGAGATCTAAATGCTGCCCCCTTTCTAGTGCTGTGTGCATCTGTCCTGCCAGTTTTCTCTGCAAATCTAGACGATGCTTCCTCTAACATCGCATCTCCACTGTGCTGCTGCTCAAGTACTTGTCCACCTCCTTGACTGCTTCCTTGTGACCCAGGAGATGGAGATCTGAGGCACAGTGCTAGCTTTGGAAGAACAAGTTGGGAAAACCAGCTGGTTTTTTTTTTTTTCATCCTCCCTCTCCTTCAGGATGCCATAAAACATAATTCATTCCTATGCCCTGAAAAAAAACTTGAGCAAGGAAACATTGAGGAGGCATTTGGAAAAGTGGACCAAGTAGTTGAAGGTAAGGGGCTGGTTTGTGGAGCAGTGGGTAGAGCCTCCACCTGGGACACTGACACCCTGTGGCTGTTCCACTTCTGATCCAGCTCTCTGGTGATGCTGCTGGGAAAGCAACAGAAGATGGCCTGGGTTCTTGGGTGCCTGCTACCCAGTTGGGAGAGCCAGATGAAGTTCTGGCTCCTGGTTTTGGCTTGCATCTTTCACCCTCACCCAGTCATTGCCGCCATTTAGGAAGTGAAACAGAGGCTGCTCTTTATCTATCTTTCTGTCTCCCTCTTGAATTTCAAATATTTAGATAAACCTTTGTTAAGAATTGTTGAAGGTAAGTGACTTGGAACTGTTACTAGAGTTCTTGTCTGATTCTGTTCTGTGATCTCCTCTTGGGAAGATCATCCTCCAAAGTCTCGGGGCTTGGCTGAACTTCTTATCCCCCTTCCTCTCCAGTGGCAAGTACATGTGGGTTGTATTTATGGGTGGGAGGTAGGACCAAATTAGTCAAGGACAGAGTAAGGGATAGAGCCTGGCCCTTTTCACTTGGTGCCCAGAACTATGGCCGCTCAAACAGCTCATCCTCTGTTGCTGCAGGAAAGATGCCCAATTCCTTGCTTGGGACAGATCCAGGGCAGCCAGTGCACATCTCACTGGCTTGTGAACTCCCCACCAGGGCAGCCTGATACCAGCCAGGCCCTCAGGAATTTGCCTGTGTTTGCAGGTGAGGTCCACGTTGGCGGACAGGAGCATTTTTACATGGAGACACAGAGAGTGCTTGTGATTCCAAAGGCAGAAGACAGAGAGCTGGACATCTACGTGTCTTCCCAGGATCCAGCCCACGTACAGGTGAGGCTCTGGGGTATTCTGCTCCCTCTGGAAACCCCTGCAGGCCTGCGGTGGGCCACCAAGTTTCAGACATCAGCCAAGCAGCTCAGACTTCAGATCCTTGGCTGGTTTTTGTTTTGTTTGTCTGGCTTTTCTGGTCTTGTCAAGCTAAGAAAAGAATACTAATGTTCACTTTAGGCTTTAAGAAATCTGGGGATGTGCATGAGGCTCAGAAGCTCTCTGATTGGATGGCATGCTGAATGATTTCCTCATTTGACATTTTTCTTATGTAATCATCGCAGGTCACCCAGGGAGGGAAGACACTGCAATGTGCACATTTGCATTATCTCACTCAAAAATGAATGCTAGGTCTTAGCCACAAGCCTGCCAGTCATTCTCAGTAGGTTGTTAGGTGTGTGCTGGTTCACCTACTTTGGAACTTCTGATTTGTGCATTTAAGTATGAATACAGCTTCCTTCTAGCAGGCATCCAAGTCAATGCCATCTTGCTGCTGAAAAGACCATTCCATGAAGACAAGCTGTATTTATGGACCTCCAGCCCCCTGGGGGATGCAGGCTGACCCTCCCTATCTTCCCTCAGCAGAAAGTATAAATTAATCCCGCTGCCACAACGTGTTGCAGGAGACAGCTCCTGGTCTGGTTCGTTCTTAACTATGAGCCTTACTGATGTTTCACTTTTGCAGAAAACAGTGTCATCTACTTTAAACATCCCCATCAACAGGATCACCTGCCACGTGAAACGAGTGGGTGGCGGTTTTGGGGGGAAAGTGGGAAAGCCAGCTGTTTTTGGAGCCATCGCAGCCATAGGTGCTGTCAAGTAAGTAAGCCCATAGGAACTGGGGATGCAAAACACACAGGGCCAAGGAAGGCAGATCCATTCCTGACAGCCACCTGGGCTGCTGTCACAACTAGCTGTGTGTTCTTGGACAAGTCTGCCTTCTTCTTACTCTGTTTCTTCATAAAATAAAGGTGACAACCACCCTCCAACTCTTTGAAATTATTGCAAAAGGCAAATGGGCACAGAATTCCAATAAGCTACCAACAGGAAAGTGGTTTTATTAGATAGATAATCCCTCAGGGCTGGGGTTCCCCCATTTCCAAAGTTCAGGAAAGGTGGCCTATTTATGAGAGGGGCAAGTTGCCCTGCCCGGGTGGAATGCTAAGGCGGAGGCTGCTCTCTGACTTTTCCTTCTTACTCTCAATTGCAGAACAGGATGTGGTAAGGAAAGAAAGACTCCCCACGCTTGGCTTTTGGGGGCCTCTGAGGGCCTGAAAGTGTCCATCTCAGGGGACAGACGGTTCAGTTTCCATTAGGCCTCCCAGGCCAGCCTCAGTGCCCTGCTCTCACCTTGCTGCTTACCCCTCAGCATTCCTGTTTAGTGTATGTTGGCTTTTCTATTACTAGTTTACTTCCTGTGGCTCTCTCTGTGTATTTTGTCAGAGCCTTAATTAATCTGCAAACTTCACAGGTCCTGCTTCCCTTACCACCTGGGTAACTCAAAGCTGTGGCCCAAAGTACCCAGAAATAGGTCTCTACCCAAAATGAAAGGTGGGGGAAAAGTAAGCCCAGAATCCCACTTCCAGGTCATTCCATAATGAAGCTCACACTCAGCAGGGACCCAGCAAGGGGCAACCCGTTCATTGTATTCCCACCAATCACTGTGCCTGTGCAGCTGCTCTACTGTGACTCCACAATCTGGGGAGTATATAAATCCCCACTGTGAGTGAAAGCTTGAGCATTGCATCGCTGTCAACTGTTTGGAAGACCTGAATTGAGTTCTTCGTTTCTGGCTCTGGTCTGTCCCACCCCAGTCATTGCAGGCATCTGTGGAGTGAAACAGTAGATGGAAGATCTCTCTTCTCTCTCTCTTCTATCTCTTTTTATCTGCCTTTCAAATAAATAAAATATTTTAAAATAGTAAATTAAAAATCCCAGTGCATAGCTACCCCATACTGACCCAAACACCAATGTATTTGACAACTTCCTTTCCCAGTGGTTCCCCCGCACTGTGAGAGCCAGTACCTTCAGTTACAAGGCTATCCAGCACCCAGCTACCATGCTTTAGCTGATCCCAGAACTCCAGCTCCTGAGGTCATAGCGATTCCTGTCTTGCCTCCCACCTCGACCCCCCTGCATCACATTACTATGGAAGGAACATGGAAGCAGCACACTTGAGTGATACTCCAGCTTGTCCTTGCCAGAGAAGACCAGGAAGCCCTGCTCTAAACTAGTGACTGCCTGCTCCTGAAGACACCTGAATTAGAGAAGAGCACAGATTCCTCCCCAACACACCAAATCAGAATCAAGGGAATAACGCCCAAGAATGAATATTTTTACTGAGCTCTCTGATCCTTTTGCATTCCAAACTCTAAGAACCCTTATCCTAAACATAAAGAAAAGCTGCGGTTCCAAGCTCCCCAGATGTCAGCACAGCCAACACAGTAATAACCTCCATGGTTGCTATCAATGCAGTCATTGATGACACTAAAATAGACATCTGAGAAAGTGTTTGACTTCGGTTTGCCAGCAGTATTGTATCTGTTCACAATCATTTTCTTTTGTATCTGGTGGTTGGGTTAAACAAAATGACTGGCTCTGAATGCAGATCAAATTCAAAATCATGAAAACACGATCTAACTGACATATGATATTAATCCCTTTTAGCTGAATCTCCAACACCTGATTTATAGACAACAGAAACAATAGTAATTCAGTCATACATTAATTCACATCAGTGACTAGCACCCTGCATTCAATCAATAAGTCTAAATGGGATGGATAGAAGATGGATAGTTAAATAAAAGGTTGCCTAAATAGGTGGGAGGGAGGATGATGGCTATTGGGAAGAGAGGTGGGTAGATGGATGGATGAGCAGAGAGTCGAGAGGACAAACAGGTGGATGAGTAGAAGACTAAATCAATGTGTAGGGATGGATGGAGAGTCTAAGATGTATCTTCTTCAGAACCGGTCATCCCATTCGTCTTGTTCTTGATCGTGAAGATGATATGCTAATAACTGGAGGAAGACACCCACTATTTGGAAAATATAAAGTGAGTACAAAAATGAAATTATTGAAATGATTCATTTTATCTGCATGGCTTTGTCATTTTCTACTGTCTTGATTTTTTCTGAATCATAGCATCTAAAATATTAAATAAGAATTGTTTGAATGGTTTTGATATTTCATGATAAAATTTTTGATGCATAGTGTATAAGATGAAATGTAATGATAAAATATAACCTCAAGTGATAAGGATTTACATTAGTGGTTCCTCAATTTTTTTTTAACTGAAAGAAGCTATATACATTGCTATACCAGAATTCTTGAGATTATAGTAGAAATGCATAGAAACAATTTTAATATTTTATAGTTTTTACAGCACTTTCCAGCAAGTGGTTATAGAAAAGGTTATAAAAACTCACTACAGATAGAAAAAAGAACTCACTAACTAGGAAAATTTAAATTGTTTCAAAACTTGTTCACTTCATTTCCTTCAATTATAACATTAACACTGTTAAAAATACCTACTGGCATCCAGTTGACAACAATACTACTCTTTGAATTTGTAGTTTTTCAAATTTGTAATTTAGGATAGTTCTAATGTAACATAAGATATCACATGTGCTTTATTCAGGAATTGCATGTGGCATACACAGAGCTGAATTTCCTATCTGATATTGTCATTGCCTTGAATTACTAAATGGTTACATTCTCTGTATTACTAAAGCAACAGCTTTCCATAGCACAGCACAATTTTATTGGCTTTGGTAATTTTATAATTAGAGGAGACACCATAGTTGGCCATTAAGCTTTTAGTTTGCTTCTAAGGTGCAGAAATTAAGAGTCACAGCTTTTACTATCTCTAGGGTCAAAAGCAATATGGACTCACACTATGGGATTGTGACAGTTGCCAGTACAGCTTTGGCCTGGATTATAAATTAGACTTTCTGTCATAGTTATGAGACTGTAACACTTATTAAGATTATCTTAGGCTATTCATGTTTTTGTTAATATGTTAAAATTAAACATAACTAAAAAGTAAATTTTATAAATCCAACTTTTATTTTATTTTAAAATATAATTTTGCTTCTACCTATTAATATATATATGTTATATATGTGTATGTACAAGATAACTTCAAAACACTCATGGAAAAAAGAATCTTTTTAATTTTTATTGGAAAGTCAGATATATAGAGAAGAGGAAAGACAGAAAAGAAAATATTCCATTCATTGATTCACTCCCAACGGCCAGTGCTGCATCGATCCAAAGTCAGGAACCTGGAGCCTCTTCCCTGTCTCTCAAGTGAATGCAGGGTACCAAGGCCTTGGGGCATCCTTGACTGGTTCCCCAGGCCACAAATAGGGAGCTGGATGGGATGTGGGGCTGCCAGGATTAGAACCAGTGCCCACATGGGGTCCAGATGCGTTTAAAGTGAGAAGTTTAGCCACTAGGCTACTGTGCCAGGCCTGGAAAATAGAATTTAAAAATAAGTTTGTTTAGAGCTTGCAAGTGCTCTCCTTGCAAGTGCCAGGATCCCATATGGACACCAGTTCATGTCCTGGCGCCCCAACTTCCCATCCAGTTACCTGCTTGTGGCCTGGGAAAGCAGACAAGGAAGCCCTAAGGCCTTGGTACCCTGTGCCCATTTGGGAGACAGGGAGGAGGCTCCTGGCTTCATATCAGCTTGGCTCCAGCTGTTGCGGCCACTTAGGGAGTGAATTAGTGGACAGAGGATCTTCCTCTCGATCTCTCCTCCTATCTGTATAGCTGACTTTTCAATAAAAATAAGCAAATCTTTTTTTTCTTTAACTTTTTTTAGTGCAAAATGTTCTAAAATCCATGCATATGAGGGGGTCTTCAAAAAAAAGTTCATGAAAGATGCCTCCTATAAGACCGCATGGATTTTAAAACTTTTTACACCAAAATAAATTTATCTTTTCATTCTATTTTTCCATGAATTTTGTGATGAGCTCTTGTATGTATGTTGCCATTCAATAGCTAACCATTTTATTTGGTTATTCAGAACTATTTTCAAAATAGCAAAACAAATATTTGTGTGTAAGTAGGTTCTTCCCAAATTCTTGAAAGGGTTATGGTACATAGTTTAAGAATTCTCTCTGTTCCTTTATTTCTGGTTCTGTTTTTGTTCAGCAATACTTTCTTTTTAAAAATAATTTATTTTATTTATTTGATGATGATTACAGGGTTGACCAGGGTGAGAAGAATTGAGAATCAGGGAAAAATGGGTGAAGTCATCACTTCCTAATTCTCCATTTCTTATTTCCTCTGGCGGAAGGGTAGAAATAAAAGAAGTCACACCCAGGCTCCCAAATGTCCCGGTACCCAGGGATGTGGAACTGCCACCCAATATCAACCCAGGGTTCTGCTATAGTGCATGTTCTAAGGGTTCTGATAAGTGATTTGGATAGTTCTGAAATGTTGTTGATTTCGCAGATCCAAGGATGAGAACATACTTAGTGAGAAGTTGAAGGTGGATTTCAGCCCAGCGGTTGTTAAAAGCACCAGAAATTCTGAACCTGCATATCTCCCTGTGCTCTGTGGTTTATCAGCCAGTGTTGCCCTGGAAATATTTGACAATAACCACAAGCCAGCAGGGACCATGTTGTCACTGCTGTGAGAAAGACAAAGAGAACTGGGCTGTAACTCTCTTGATAGAACTGAGAACAGGAAGTAGAATGTCTTTATTTTAATCCAGGCTGCCTTGGGCGCCTCCCAAACAGTGCCCACAGGACTGGCTCCCGTTTCCCGGTTCTGTGCCCATTTACACAGCACCTCCTCCACCTAGTGAAATGAGAGTCATCCTTCCCATGCATTCATCCACAGATCTCAGCGTCAGAGATTTTCCTCACAGCAAGATTCACTGTGATTATAATTAGATAGGGAAAGGCCAGCTCCAGTGCACGGTGGAATTCCAGGGCCTTCTGCACAAGGGAGAACAAAGAAATCCAGTTTAAAAATAAATTAAAGGCAACTCTTCTGGGAAGAAAGATGTTGGAAGTTTGATGCTGAGAAACAATCAAGAACGTTAGAATTTCATAATGAATGTGAAGCCAGAAAATGACATGGGGAAGTGCTCAACAAGATTCAGATCAGGAGAGGGCTTCATTTCTCAAGTGCTGAGAAATCACAAAGGTGATTGCAAGGTGTAGCGCACCAGAGAGCAAATGCGGAGCATGGAAACTGGGCGGTGGCGCACACTGGCTTGTAAGTCTTAACTCTCATCGGTCAAATGTCCATCATCAACAGGTGGGATTCATGAACAACGGGCGCATCAAAGCTCTTGACGTGGAGTGCTACATTAACGGAGGATGCATGCTGGATGACTCAGAGCTGGTAAGTTCATCCGAAACCAGGAAGGCCCTTGATGATCAGTAAAAATGCATTTTTACACGAGTCTTTAGCAAGCACCTAGCTCCAAGTAGTTAACAAAACTGCAAGCAGTTCAAATCTGTGTACGACTTTGAGAGAGAGAGAAAAAAAAAAAAAAAACGTGCCTAATGTATATGAATCTGTTCTTCAGGTAACAGAATTTCTTATACTAAAGCTGGAAAATGCATATAAGATCCGCAACCTCAGGTTCCGGGGCCAAGCATGCAGGACCAACTTACCTTCCAATACAGCATTCCGTGGATTTGGCTTCCCACAGGGGACCCTGGTGACTGAATCTTGCATCACAGCTGTGGCAGCCAAATGTGGCCTTCCACCAGAAAAGGTAAGGTGGTAAGCAACATCATTGTCACAGTGGCTAGAGACTCAGAAAAAGCAGAGACCTGTTCCATGGACCCAAGAAGACCCGTTAGAAGGAACTTGCAAGTTAGTCCTGACTCAGAACTTACACTGAAAGCTACCTCAAAGCCCCATCTCCCTCTATCTCATTTTCTCTCACCTTACCCAGAAATTTTTTTCTTCTTTTTAAAATTTTGTATAAAAAATACTTGTTTTTTCAAAAAGCCAAAACATACTGAAGTAATGAAAGAAAAAAATGAACACAACCCTTTCTTTTGCTTATTTCTGTTGGTCAGGGGATATCCATTATGAACAATTTCACATTTCTTGTTCTAACACTTTTTCTCTCTTTATCCATCCATTTTTATTTGCGCACACACCACTGATATACAACATATGTGTGCAAATAAATGTTTAATGCCAAAATGAGAAAGCATACTATTCTTTTTTCTTTTATTTATTCTTAAAAGATTAATTCATTTTTGTTTGAAAGGCAGAGTTACAGAGAGAGAAGAGACAGAGATTTTCCATCTGCTGATTCATTCTCCAAGTGACCACAATGCCCAGAGCTGGGCTGGTCCAAAGCTAGGAGCCTGGAGCTTCTTCACAGGCTAACAAGAACTCTTCTGCAGGGGCCTAAGGCCTTGGACTATCTTCTACTGCTTTACCAGGCCAGAAGCAGAGAGCTGGATCAGGAGTGGAGCAGCCAAGACACAAATTGGTGCCCATGTGAGATGCTGGCACCATGGGCTGGAGGTTTAGCCTGTTGAGCCACAGCACCAGACCCCAACACCCCTCACCTGCCAACTTCCTTTTTCTAACTGTGAAATATGCACAACCATCTGTCCATTCTGAGGGATGATCCATTCTGAAGAATGATCAACTTGATTATTTTTCATGACTGCATGGTGGTGTGCTATACTACAGACGTGTCAAAATGTAGTTAGTCACTCCACTATTGATACACATTCAAGTTGTTACCCATTTGGGGCTATTAAAATGACGTTCCAAGGGACAACATTATGGCATAGTAGGCAGAGCGATTTCCTGCAATGCTGACATTCCCTATGGGTGCTGATTCAGTATCCTAGCTGCTTCACTTCTGCTCCAGCTCCCTACTAATGTGCTTGAAAAGGCAGCAGAGAATCTCTCCAGTGCTTAGGTCCCTGCAAGCACATGAGAGACCTGGAAAGAAAGAGGATGTCACATTGCCATGAGAAAAGAAGACTCAGAAAGAACTTTCTGGGGAATTGGCACTGTGGCATGGAAGATAAAAGCTGTTCAGCCTGTAGTGCTGGTATCCTGTATGGATGCTGTTTCATGTCCTGGCTGCTTCACTTCCAATCTGTCTTCCTGCTTATGACCTGGAAAAGCAATAGAGGATGGCCCAAGTCCTTGGGCCTCTGCACTCACATGGGAGACCCAGAAGAAGCTCCTGGCTCTCGGCTTCGGATCAACTCAGCTCCAGCTGTTGTGGCCATTTGGGGAGTGAACCAGTAGATGAGACTTGTGTCTCTCTCTGTCTTTCCTTCTCTGTGTAAATCTGTCAAGTAAAAACAAATTTTAAAAATAAATAAAAATTTTAAGTTAAAAGAAAGTTTTCTGGAGAAAATGGCCACAACAGCTGGAGACTTACCTTGAGGAATGACTGGAAGGATCATGGAAAGGTAATTCAGGCATGTGGAACAGCAGAAACAAGCAAAGTCAACTTCTTTGTAACTCAGTTTCCTTATCTGCAAAATAAGTAGAAAATGACCCACAGAGTTAGCAGTCATGAAAGTCTTTGTGTTCCTAAACTGGGTAGTATTGTTGCTATATTGTTTCTGTTGCTAGTACAGTCATTCCTGCATTGTTATCAGAACAAGATGAGGATGGTGGAAACTCCTGGGGTTCCTCAGCAGGTTCACTTTCTGTGAGCATTGCAAGTTCCCAGGACTTAAAAGACACTCCGTGTACATCAGTGTCTGGAAGACGTCAGCACATATTCCGAAGGGGAATGGGAGGCGAATGGGAACCCCGCGGCTCGCTGTGGTCTGCAATGCTACTCATGTGGCAGAGCAACTCTTGCATTACGATGATCAGTAAATCCTGACTTCTGTGTACTGCTTCCTAGCCTGGCTCTGTCCACATCTTGTAAGAAATCCCCACTCCCTCCACCCCCAGCACCATTCAGAGACTAGTTGCCACCTTCCACTTCCAGGCAAGGGGAGGAGAGATTCTGATCAGTACTTTGATGAATGAGATGAAAAATTAATCCTCACCGTTTTGCAAAAGCACATGCTGTTCAGATAAAAATAACAGTCCCTGTTTTCCCCCAACCAAAATGTGTGTTTTCGTGGAGAAGCTTTCCCAGGCTCCATGGAGATTTGTCTTATCACACATTGCTGTTGACTGGATTTTCCACCTGTTTCAGATTAGGGAGAAAAACATGTACAAAACTGTTGATAAAACCATCTACAAACAAGCCTTCAGCCCGGAGGCCCTGATAAGATGCTGGGAAGCATGCCTGGACAAGTCATCCTTTCACAGCAGAAGAATGCACGTGGATGAGTTCAATCGGAAGAATTACTGGAAGAAGAAGGGCCTCGCGATTATCCCCATGAAGTTCTCAGTTGGCTTTGCTGCTACCAGCTACCACCAGGTAAGACTCACATGCAAGTGTATGGCAACCCTCACATCAGACACACTCCAGCCCTGGTCAGCTCGTGTCAACTCAGAGAATGTCATAATTCCCACATCACTGAGGTTTCCATCTGTCAGCATGTTCAACACAGAGCAACAGAGAAAAGCCTCAATGGTCAGAAACAGTACCAGCAAGCATGAGAGTTGCAGCAGCATAGCTGACAAGGTAGAGTTAAGGCCCTCTCCTGCTGCCTGCTATTCGAAAAGGGAACTGGAACCCACGAAGCCTGTGGTGCTGTGCTAGGCTGATCTCCGGGGTTTTGTGGCTTGGGGAAGGAAATGGAACTTCTGTTCCAGGACCCCAGATACCTGCAATACTCCATATTGCACCTGTCAGATCCTAATCAGAGACACCATTCCACTTTGCACTTGTAAGTCATCTCTCCCGAGAATCTGTGTTCATTCTGGCCCCAAAATTCTCCAAGCTAAAGGAAGAGGAGACTTCTTTGCAGGAGAGGAAGGTAGTGTATAGATGAGTGCCTTATGCAGCAAAAGGTTGGGCCAGAAAAGTATCTCCTGGGTCACAGGACAGTAGACTATTACCTCACCATTGCTACTCATGAAAATTCAGACAATTCTGCATACATTGGATCTGCACCGTTGAAAGTGGTCTTGCACATGTACCCAGCTACTGGAAGCCAAGGGTTCTCATTCTGTCTTTCCTACACACACACATACACATACACACATACACACACTATACAACAATAACACAGCCCACGAAAGCTGCCCTGCCAAAGAAATTTCTCCTTAGGGAAAACACAGAGTTTCCCCCAGTCCCTAAGCAGTTGGCATCAGAAGGGCTTGCAGAATCCTTGGCCCTGCCACACATTTGCTGAGTGATGTCAAATAAGCTGTTGAATCTCTCTGCGCCTTTGCTTCCTCAGTTACAAAGTGAGTTCAGTAACAACTCTCTCTTAAAATGGATGGGAATCCCAGGGGATAATTAATGACTTGGCCATTTTCCCGGAACTCTCTGGACCTTTTCCAGAGCAGTCCTAGGCTCTTCGCCCAAGGAGCTCAGCCATCCCTCAGTGTCCCCACTCCTCTAGTGGGTAGAATGAGCTTCCCTGGGCTTGTGGATCACATTCTGGTTCAGGTCCAGCATCCTGTCTATGAACAGTTGCAGGAAGGCTGGCCACATCAACAGCCAGAGTGAGTCGATGGCTGGGGCATCAGTGACCCTTGCTTGTAGCACATGTGAAGTTCTCTGCAACACCAAGTATTCCATCTTTTCTAAACCAAGTTGCTACCACCCATGGGCTGTCCAGCAATTCAATTTTCACACTAGCTTCCCAGAGCTAGCTAGCACAGACCCTCACGGGCAGAGGGCTGACTCCCACCACAGTAGGAGACACTGTGCCCAGTTTGAGACACCAGTTGCCAAGAGGGTGCCCAGGCGGCTCCCACTTCCTCTCTCTGGCTGACGGCTATCTTGGGGATTGTCACTACCCCCACACAGAGTTGGCAGTAAGCTGGGATGACTCACAGAACTGGGCCAAGCACTTCACTTGTAATCATCACCACTTTATTACAAAGCAGCAGCCTACAAAAGAGGCAGAAGGCAAGGTGGGGGAGGTGAGGGGCCTCTCCCTGCCCTCCCTCCAGAGCCACTGCCTTCCCAGAAGCCCCAGCCCTACCTGCACCAAGGCAGAAGTTTCCCAAATCCATCATCCAGAGTTTTATGGGGGCGGGAGGGGGAGTCTCCTTTTAGATATGATTAGAACATCAGCTGTTGGGGATGAGACTCCATCTCTAGTCCTCTAAGGACATGACATGGTCCTGAAAGATCAGCCTCCTCCCCGCCCCATCCTGAAGCTCTCTGGACCCCACCCCATGAGTCACCTCACTGGCAGACTATAGACAGCACATTCCAAATTCCAGGAGCTCTCCACCAAGATCCAGTGACAAAAACCATTTATTTTTTATTTGGCCATACCTACCTTCCCCCTTATGATTGCTCCTTACCTAAACCGCAGCCTGTTCTCTCTGTCATCGACTCATCTCACCCCACATGCAAAACAAATTCCCAGCCCCCAGTGACTTTCTCTCCATTTGAAAGCACCCCTGCTTTCCCACAGAGTTCTACATGCATTCCATCCAGAGTCTACACTAGGAGCTGAAGGTTCGCAGAGCTGAACACTTTGGGTACAAGCAGTCAGAGCACTGTCCTCAGAGGGAGTGAAAGGCCCACAGGGAGTCATTCCTGCAGCTACTCCAGGGCCATGCATGGCATCCCAGGGCACCCAGACAGACTCCAGCCACCTGCCTCCACCTTGCCATGCCCGTGCACCAAACGCACATGTGGTGTCCCTGTGCCTGGGCCTATTCTGCCTCCTCTGCAGGACACAAAGCTGTACCAGCCCCGATGCCTCAGCTTGGTGAAACACTCAGAGCAGAGCCTGTCTCCTCCTGCATAACTTCCTGTGGTTCTGGTACCAAAGAACCACTCCCTGTGGAGCTGAGAGCCACAAGCTGATCCTCTCGCAGTTCCAGAAGCCAGACATTCAAAATCAGGACGTGAGCCAGGGCCAGGCCCCCTCCAAAGTCTCCCAGGAGGCCTCTTTCCTTGCATCCTCCACCTTCTAGTGGCTCCTGGCATTCCTTGGCTTATGGCAGCATCACTTCAATCATCACTTTTTTTTTAACATGGCCTTTTTATTTTTTAGAAAGGCAGATTTACTGAGAGAAGAAACAGAGAAAGATCTTCCATTTACTGGTTCACTTCCCAAATGACTGCAACTGCCAGGGATGAGCTGATCTGAAGCCAGGATCCTCTTCTGGGCTTCCCATGTGGGTGCAGGGTCACAAGGACTTGGGTCATCCTCTACTGCTTTCCCAGGCCATAAACAGAGCTTGGCAGGAATAGAGCAGCCAGGACACGAACTGTACCCATATGGGATCCAAGTGCTGCAAGGTAAAAGATTAGCCGATTGAGCCATCATGCCTACCCCTTCATGTGGCCTTTAAACGGGATATCAGCCTTGAAACTGAAGACCCACACTTTAATGTGACTCTCTTCACTATCACATGTACAAAGACAATTCCCAGATAAATTTATACCCTGAGGCTCCAGGTGTACAGCAATTGGGGTGAGAGAGAGGGGCTCTGTTCCACCCACTACTTCCTGTAAGAGGAAGGAAGATTGTCGATCCTTCCTAGGTGAGAAGGCAAAGGGCATGGTCAAGTTCTTACAGCACAGACACTGAGCTGTGGGTCAGAAGGCTGAGATCACAGGGAAGAACAGGAGGAGGAGCGGGCCAGGGAGAAAGCAGCAGCAGAGTGCAGTGGGAAAGACTCAGGTAGTAAGAGCAAGATCAGGTTGTGGCTGAGAAAGGTCTAGAGACTGAAGGCCCAAGACCTCCCTCCTGTTGAGCAGGAACACTTCCCTGAGCAACACAGCAGCAGCCCTTGCATTCTCACAGACCTTTGATGCCAGATGTGGGATCTCAGTGTTCTTTGCATGTTACAAACACTGGATTTCCAGCCTGTATAAGCCACCTAGAAAAGAAGCATGTCTTATTCATCTTTGTGTACCTAGAGCTCATTGAGGGTTGGCATGAGCTATATACCAATGTTAAAGAAGGGGCTAGTGCAGTGGCACAGCCCTCCAATCCTCAGCCTGAGATGCTGGCATTGCATATAGGTGCTAGTTCATGTCCCTTCTGTTCCTCTTCCGGTCCAGCTGCTGCTTATGGCTTGACAGAGCAGCAGAAGATGACTCAAGTCTTTGGGTTCTTGAAGTCACATAGGAGACCTAGAAATAGGCTCCTGGCTCCTGGTTCCTGGCTTCTGATAGACTTAGCTACAGCTGTTGCAGCCATTTTGGGAATGAATCAGCAAATGGAAGATTCTCTTTCTCTCTCTCTGTCCTTCTGTGTGTCTCCATTTCTCCTTCTCTACATAAATATGCCCTTTGAATAAAATAAATATTAAAACTGTATACATATTCAACTAACTAATTTAGTGATCAGCCATTGGTTTTAAGCAGGTAAGTCACATTGAAAGAGTTGGATTTGCTGCCCTAAGCTCCTAAGGGGCTCCTCCTTAAACCAGGTTCTGAAGTAGGAATTTTCTTTACAGTTAAGCTTTGCACAAGAACGAGGCTTTCCAATCCTGCCACAGAAGCTTGGCTTTTTTGACCCTTTCTGACAGTGGTACTGGTGTTTGACCCCTCCTTTTTTGCACTGACTCCTACTTGAGGCCAGCTTGCACTGAGCAATGCCTTCTGGGTTGTTTTCCTAGGCTGCTGCCCTTGTCCACATCTATACGGATGGGTCTGTGTTGGTCACTCATGGAGGCAATGAACTGGGGCAAGGTATTCACACCAAAATGCTACAGGTGAGATATATGCGGTTAAACCATTCACCTCTCTGTGCATTGCTGGTGAATGAAATGTGGGGCCCATCTTTTAGGCCAAATGATGATCTCTACATGCAAACTTTAAGATCTTGACTACATAATTGAAAAGCACCTTGACAATGGCTGAGCTGCAAACCCTCCAAGGGTGTGGCTTAGCTCTAGGAGTGGAGACAGCTGGTAGTGAGGACAGCACAAGGACTAAAACTGTCTCTCATATGGGATGCCGGTGCAGCAAATGGAGCATTAGCATGCTATGCCACTGTGCCTGCCCCAAGAACAAAAGAGTAAGAGTGAACAGTAATGGGAACAGCATTGTGGGTCAGTAGGTAAGACTAAACTTGAGATGTTCACATCCCAGCAGGGCCTGGTTCAAGTCCCAATGGCTCAATGTCTGATCCATTCCATTCAATTGGAAGATCCAGATGGAGTTTCAGTCTCCTAGTTTCAATCTGGTTCAGTCTTGGCTGTTGCAAGCATTTGGGAAAGGAAGATCAGTGTGTGTGTGTGTATGTGTGTGTGTGTGTGTGTTCTGTTCATCTTTCAAATAAATATTTTTTTAACTAAGAAGTAAATACTAGGAAATGTGAGAAATGGGAACATCCCATATACATGCCAGTTTGAGTTTTGGATGATCCACTCCTGATCCAGCTCTCAGTAATACAGCTGAGAGAACTGCAGAAGATGACTCAAGTGCTTAGACCCCTGCCATTCACCTGTGAGACCTAGATGAAGCTCCTGGCTCCACTGCAGCCGGGGAGTTAACCAGCAGACAGAACTTTGCCTGTGTGTGTGTGTGTGTGTGTGTGTGTGTGTGTGTGTGTGTGTGTGTGTGTGTGAAACTCTGCCTTTCAAATAAATCTTAAGAAAGAGCAAACAGGGCCCGGTGGCATGGCCTAGCAGCCAAAGTCCTCACCTTGAATGCTCTGGGATCCCATATGGGCGCCGATTCTAATCCTGGCAGCCCCACTTACCATATCCAGCTCTCTGCTTGTGACTTGGGAAAGCAGTCAAGGACAGCCCAAAGCCTTGGGACCCTGCACCCGTGTTGGGAGACATGGAGGAAGTTCCTGTCTCCTGGCTCTGGATCGGCACAGCACCGGCCGTTGTGGACACTTGGGGAATGAATCAATGGATGGAAGATTTTGCTCTGTGTTTCTCCTCCTCTCTGTATATCTGAATTTCCAATAAAAATAAATAAATCTTTTTTTTTTTTTAAAAAAAGGCAGGTCTTCATGGCCATCCTAATCCATCTACAACTCACACTATCAGAGCTCAGACAGAACTGAGTTGATGAATCCATCTAATCCCAACTGTGTGCTTACTGTCTCTTCCTGTGCTCCTTCTATCCCTCTGCCCTTCCCCCCCGCCTTCCAAGCCACTGCAACCAAATAAGTGCCTGAGCACTTCAACTTGGACTATTCCTTGCACATATGCAATTAGGAAAAAGGAAAGCCTTCCTATCTTAAGTGCACTAAGTGCTATAAGAAGGACCACTGTGGAATGTTACCAAGAAAGCCCACTAAATAATCTGTGTAAGACCTTACTATGAAATAGTTCTGATGCTTATAAAACAGATTATTTTCAACTTCAAAAGATATTATAGATGTAATATAATTGTAACATTTTATTAAGAAAAGGAATGGCTCAAATCTTTCTAGAAGTCATTACTAAACTTGAAAAAAATTCTTTTTCTCACAGGTGGCCAGCCGTGAATTAAAAATACCCATGTCTTACCTGCACATCTGTGAAACCAGCACAGCAACAGTGCCAAACACAATTGCTACAGCAGCATCCGTTGGGGCAGACGTCAACGGCAGAGCAGTGCAGGTAACTCCGCCCATCTGACTGCTCTCAAGAGACTCGCCCCATGTCCCTGACTTTTTTAGCTGGATGCAGGCACAGTAGTTGGATTCAGAGAAGTCATCTGTGTCACTAATCACAGCCTTCAGCTAGCCAAAAGCTCAGGAGAGGGTATTAGAGTTGGGCTGAACTAGGGTGACACATCAACCAAGAATATAATGCTGCAGGCAGCAGCAGTCTTTTTCTGGCATATGCACCAGAGGAAACATCTGGCTGTTCAAGCACCCAGGCTGATAGCAAGCTGCTGGCTGCAGTATGTGGTCTTCAGGCTTATCCTGAGCGCGTTTATTCCTATAAGCACAGAGTAGCCCAAGAGGAAGACATGGACCAGACCTGTATGTGATGGCAGTCACTTCCAGTCATAATTCATCAACAGAATCAGTGTCAGACCAGGCCTAGCAGCAAGGAAGGTTGGGAACTGGATAATGGGAGAGGCCCAGGTACTTGGACCCCCACCACCCATGTGGAATACATAGATGAAACTCCTAGCTCCTGGCTTCAGATTGGTTTAGCTCTGGCTGTTGCAACCATTTGGGGAGTGAACAGCGGGTGGAAGATAGATCAGTCTCACTCTCGCTCTCGCTCTCTCTCTCTCCTCCTCTGTCCTTCTCTCCCTGTAATTCTAACTTCAAATAAACAATACATTCTTTAAATGAAAGAATGGCAGAATGGATGTCCTGATCAGGCAGTCTGTCACTGGGGGATTTAGAAGGACAGAAGGAACTTGGAGACCAAGTGATGAAAGGCTATACAAGTGTCCTCTGGCACAGGTTGTTACAGGAAGGTGAGCAGGGCAAACCTCAGCCAAACAGTCATGGTTCAATGAATGTATCAGAGTGTTCACAACCTTTCTTCTTAGTGATTTACTAACCAACTTGAGTATCCTAAGAAAGAGGATCTGAGAGCAGAAATTCAGATGAATCTATATTTTCTCAGGAATGAACTACGAAGGAGAAACCCTGCAGTCACTGATATAAGAGCAGGGACTGTGTGTTGCTCTGTGTGACTAACACATCAGAGTCAGGCATTTCATATGCATGATCAGACTTAATCAATAACTAGTGTATATTCTTACACAAATCTGAATTGCTAGCTCTCCTCTAACATGGATTATCTTTATTCCTTTAAGAATGCTTGCCAGATCCTTCTGAAACGTCTTGAGCCCATCATTAGGAAAAATCCAGAAGGTTCCTGGGAAGACTGGGTGAGTGTAATGCAAGCCAGTGCTAAGAGGGCCCCCAGGGTGTGCACAGCCACCACAGTTAGAGGCAGTTCCTCTAAGCTCCTAGCACAGTGATGGGCCGTGCTCCAAGCTCCTTCACCAGCTGAGTGGATTCTGTGAAATGATATGGTCACCAAAGGTTGAGAAGTCTACTCTAGAATATACAGTGGGTAAGTGGAGAAAGCACACAGGGAGACAGTCACTGGGAAGAGTAACAAAAATAGTGAGGAATAGCCAGGTCTTACCCACTTTACTTAAGCTGGAAAAAAAAAAAAGACTTCTGTGCCTTCCTAAGGCACAAAGTATGTGAATGCTTTAAACAAAAAGAAAGAAAGCTAAATGTCTCTGGAAAAAATTCATTTGATCCATCTTTTTCGAATGCTACACTTACTTACTTACTACAATTCCAACATTTAAAAATGGAAGCCTCAAATGACTTGTGAGGTCTGGCATGATGGCTTAATTAGCTAATCCTTCCTTTGCAAGCATTTGGTGTCCCGGTTGCTCCACTTCACATCCAGCTCCCTGCTTTTACCCTGGGAAAACTATAGAGGACAGCCCAAAGCCTTGGAACCTTATCCACAGGGGAGACTCAGAAGAAGCTCCTCCTCTTGGTTTCAGGTCAGCTCAGCTCTGGCTGTTGCAGCCGATTGGGGAGTGAGTCAGTGAATGGATCTTTCTCTCTGTCTCTCCTTCGCTCTAGAAATCTGCCTTTCCAATAAAAAAATAAATAAATAAATCTAAAAAAAATAATTGTGAGTCAAGGACCTGTACCATGGGTTATTAGAGCAGGATTTGAGCCTCTTTGTTCAGTACAGATTTTTAAATCCCATCAGAGGAGATAGGCAGAATGTTAGCTAAGAAAGAACCAAATTAGGGTAAGCTGTATTATTGGTAGCAAAGCACCAGCAATAACACTCAAATGTCAATTTTGATACACAGAATATTTGCATTTTCACTCATCAGATATGTGTTTACTTTATTTGGGCTAATTATGCTGACTCTACAGATTGAAGCTGCATTTGAGAAAAGAATCAGTCTGTCAGCCACTGGATACTTCAGGTAAAAATTACAATAATATCTTGACTTACTTGCAGAAATGAGGTAACACAGTCTGGGTCTCAGTTTCTACTGAGGTTCCTTATGGTCCAAAATGTTGTGATTTCATACAGATCTTTTGAATTATGTCCAAAGAAATATTAAGTAATAGAAATGCCCAATTAAGCCAAAAACACCCACTTTCACATGCAATATCCAATTGTTATTTTTTTATTCCTTATTGTGAATAGTGAAAAGATTATTAGGGGATTCAGTGAGGCAATGTATCTAGCTAATCCTCTGCATGTGGTGTCAACAACCCATATGGGCACCAGTTCAAGTCCTGGCTGCTCTACTTCTCACTTAACTCCCTGTTTATGGACTGGGAAAGCAGTAGAGGACAGCCTAAGTGGTTGGGCCCCTGTACCCACATGGAAGACCCAGAAGAAGCTACAGACTCCCAGCTTTGGCCTAGTTCAGCTCTGGCCACTGCAACCATTTGGGAAGGGAACCAGTGGATAGAAGGTTTCATTTTCTCTTTGTCTCTGTATCTTGGCCTTTCAAATAAAACAAATTTTTTTTAAAAAAAGAAATATATTAGAAGTAATTGGTAACTGAATTCCACGGATGTCTCTCACATGAAACCTTTCTGCTTTCAAGCTCCTTATTGGACAGGAGGAAACTGACAGGATGATAATAGCCAACCACTCCTGGGCATCATGGGGGGCCCACATGAAATGGTGCTGATTGGATGAAGTGGACAAAGAGCTGAAGGCTGAATTTAAGAGGTGTAGGACATTAACTTTATAGTAGCATGAGCCAAATCACATACACACAGTAAGACAAGTCTTCATGAAAAAGAAGAAGGAGAGAACAAGCCAGCCCACTGCCATGTGTGTGCCCAGCTCTGAATACTTAAGTTCAGTTCTGCATAAGGTGATCAAGACAGCACTCTGAGGACTTCCTCCATTGGCCGTCAGCACATTGCAGTACTAGCTTTTCTGTTCTTTCTTTTTCTTTTTTTTAATCAGCCTTGAATTACTCGGCTCCCTGTGATGTGTGTTACCACAGTTTATGAGATCCCTCTGGAAAGACTAATAAAAATCAACTGGAGTTCTAAATGTACAGACGAAACTAAGGCTCAAACCCTACAGCATCAAGCTAACAGTTGCACTAAGGAGTCCAAGCCAGTACAGCTAGCTAGCATCTTTCACTTTTGACATCCTAACTGGAATACCAGGAGTACCAGAAGTACAGGGTAGCTATGAACTTCAAATGAAAGTGGATTGAATGAAATGCTACTATACAACTTGAATATTTTTTAAAATCATTCCACATTATCTGTACCTTCTACCCCCAAGCTAAAAGTATTTATTTCCTTCCTTAGGGGCTACAAGGCCTTCATGGATTGGGACAAGGGGGAAGGAGATCCATTCCCATACTACGTCTACGGAGCCTCATGCTCTGAGGTTGAAATTGACTGTCTGACAGGCGCTCACAAAGTAAGTCAAGTCTACCTTTCCTCCTCCCAAGTTAAAACAACAACATAATTGCATTGTACAGGAAGTAGCCCTGAGTTGTTATGTAATGCTCATACAACAAGAACAAGTCTTTGAATTGATGGCAATGTCCAGAGATCTGACCTTATTCTGAATTCCCACTTACAAAGACAAAAATGTAGTACAAGAGAAGGCAGTGTGTTTGACAACCTAAAAGATGTTAGATTGTCATATTCCATTTTAGATGACAAAAATCACTTTTCCAAGTTTTTTCCCAGGAAATTCTTTTATTATTAAAGGAAGGAGAACATACCTCATATGAAATAGTCTTGAGCAAATGCTGTTGGGTGGAAGAGGAAGAGATGAAAATACATTTGCTATTTAGTAGAGTGTTCAAAAAACACCTGTTGGAGACAAGGAGCTACATTTAACCCAGAGTTAATGCCTTGTGTCATAAAGGAAAAACCCATGATTATACTGCAGGTAGATGCTGCAGACCTGAGCAATGACAGCAACTCAAATTAGATCAAGCAGAACCCACACTACAGTCAACTATTAGGAAGTTTACAGAATGTACCAAAGACAGCTCCATATCCCATATACCAATTATTCCAGCATCATCTGAGCCAACTTGCCCCAAAATAGAATCAATCCTTTGCTTTAAACTAGCTAGGTTTTGGTAAATACCAACAAATGAAACTTACCAAAATATCTTTTATTGCCCCATTGGTAGTTAACTTCATCACCACTTCGGTCATGAGTAAGATTTGAAAAACAAATACAGTGAATGAAGGAAATTTCTTTGGGGAAATTGTTCTCATACTCAAGTTGATCCTGTTAATATTGTCCCTTTTTTGACTAGATTGTTTTTAAGAAGTCAATTGGCATAATCACAGATTGATCATAACTATTTTTAAATCATGATTCCTAATGCTTCATACATCTCAACACACATAACATGAAGATACCTGCACAGCACGATGTGGCAAACAAAGAAGCCACAGTGGCAGGTGGCAAGCCTGAGGGTCCTACTGCAGGCTCTCTGAAGAGCAGGTGTCAGGACCTCTGCACACCTGCAACCCATTTCTGGCTCCAGGCTAGATAGGAAGCTGTTTTCTGATTCTCTGCCCTAACAGTCACATTGAAAGATTTAACAAATGAAAATACAGGGTGTGTGGGCTAAGCTTGCATTCCATATCAATATGCATTTTGAATGTGCCTGCTCCATTTCCAAATCAGCTCACAACTAATACATCGGGGAAGCAGCAAATGATGGCTCAAGAATTTCAGCTGCTGTCACTCACGTGGGAAACCAGGATATGGCTCTTGGTTCCTGGCTTTGCTCTGGCCCAGCCTCAGCTACTGTTGCCATTGTGATAGTGAAACAGCAGATGAAAATTCTTTTTTCCTCTCTTTCTTCTGTTAAAATAAACAAATAAACTTTTAAAAACTACAAGAATACTTCAAAAAGTTTTTTAAAATATAAAAACAAAATGAAAACACAGGCTGTGCAGTTAAATCTGAATGTCTGATAAACAAAAACAATGTCCTATTATAAATATGTCCCATGAAATATTTAGAAAATAGTGCTTTTATCTGTCAGTCCTACCTGACTGACAGTTGCAATATAGATGGCCTTGTGGGAATCTTTCAGAATGTAATGGTTCAAGAAAAGTTTTAAAATGCCGTTCCTTTTGCCTTTCAGGTTACATTTTCGATTTAAGTTTTCAGTATCACTTTCTTGCCTTAAAATAGTTTATATCTCTTCAGACAGGCACTAACCTGCTAATACACACCCTGAAAGCCATCAGGTTGTGGCTCTTGACATCTATGTGGGAGGCCTGGATGGAATTCCTGGCTTCCAGCTGCAGCTGTTGTATGAATCTGTGGAGTAAACCAGCAAATTGGAGAAAGTCCTCTTTCTCTCATAAATAAAATTTAAAAACAAATAATAACTTATTTCTTGAAATAAAACAAAAAACATTGGTTTTTTTTCCTCTTTTTTATTCAAAAGGCAAAAAAAAAAAAAAAAAGAAAGAAAAAGAGAGATTCCCATCTGCTGATCCATTCTCCAAGTGCCAGCAGCAGCCAAGGCTAGACCAGGCTGAAACCAGTAGCAGTCTGGAACCTAATCCAAGTTATCCATATTGGCGACAGGGCCCTAAATATGTGAGTCATTGTATCCTGGCTCCCAGTGCATATATTAGCAGGAAATTTGATCAGAAGAGGAGGCAGCACTCTAACCAGGCACTTCAACATAGAATTACCCCAAGTGGTGACTGCACCAAATGCCACTCCACCCCAAATATCTTTTAACTGAAGAGACATTAAAGATTTTTTTTCTTAGATTTATTTTATTTTTATTTTAAAGGCAGAATTCCAGAGAGGAGAGACATAATGAAAGAGAAAGATTTTTCATTTGCTGCTCACTTCCCAAATGGCCAAAATGGCCAGAGCTGAGCCAATCCAAAGCCACGAACCAGAAGCTTTTTCTAGGTTTCCTGTGTGTGCAGGGACCCAAGGACTAGAGCCATCTCCATTATTTTCCTAAGTCATAAACAGGAAGTTGGCTCAGAAGGGGAGCAGCCAGGACTAGAATCAGTGACCATATGAGATGTTGGCATCACAGAAGGAAGCTTAGTGTACTATGCGATAAATTGGCCCTGAAATCAGAGATGTTAAAGGGTAGGTTTCCTGCTGCTGATCATTGTTAGTGAACTAAAGCTTGTGTCTATTCAATGTCAATGCATAGTCATCATTCTGCCATCCAAAAGCCATGACACAGTACATACCAGGTTCCAAGATAGATGCAAACTGAAGACTGGGAAGTTTATCCAGTCTTCTTCCTCACTTAGCTCTAGATCCAGAGGCCAATGTAGTTGTTTGAGAGGCCAGTTCGAGCCTAAAGATATTTAGGCCAAATCCAGAGACTTCAATAGAAAGTAAAAGCCTGAATCTTGAACCTCAACAAAGAATGACAATGTTACCAGAATAAGCCCACTGGAAAATGGAGGCAGAAGGGAAGCCCAGAGCTATTCCTGAGTTGGATAATAGATACCGAGGAGCTTCCCAGGGCCTCTTAGCAAGAAGGCAGTAGGGCCAAAAAGAGCGTGATGCTTCCCAGAGAAGGAGGTAGATTGGTAAGGTCAAAGACGATTTCAACATTCACCTTTATTGCCTTCCAAGAGCTTATAAATCCTCAAATTAATACATGTCACAATTATTGCATGATCTCCTCAGAAAAAATAGCTACAAGTGTACCCCCATCAGACCATCACGAGGACTGTGTGAGCAATTAGACTCTTGTTAGAACAAGAGTTGAGGCTGAGAATCAGAGGAACAACCAGGCTCAATGATTTACCCAGTGACTCACTCAATGGATCCACATGCCCTGGACTTTGGAGTCACTGAAGGAGAAGACTGGGAAAGCAAGAGAGTCCCAAATATGGCACTGAACTTTAAGAGTTTAGCAGGTGTCTGACCTGACAGTAACAGGGTTCCATGGGGTATAAATTAACCAGCAGTAGTTCCACAGTAACTGGAGACCATGTGAGTCATCATTCAAACACTGAAGCCAAGTTTTCCTAGTGACACAATTTTTGCTTTTTGGCAGAAAATCAGAACGGACATCGTCATGGATGCATGCTACAGTCTCAATCCAGCAATTGATATTGGGCAGGTAAGCTCCCGTGAATTGATACCCCTTCCTTAAAGTGGTTGTGAAATGGGAAAAGTCCTTGTCAAGTAAATACAACATCAAAGTATGAGTCAGCTATTCATGACTACCTGGAAATACCAGAAACAGGCTACCTAGTAAGAAAAGATGTTTATTTTGGCTCATGGTCATGGAAGTTCACAGTCTGAGATCAGGTTGGCCCCATTAACCTGGGCCTGATGAATGCAGTGGAGCCAGTGTGGATAGAGGGTCACAGTAAGCCAGGAGGCCGAGAAGTGAAGTCACGTTAGATAAACCACTGTCTGGAGAACTACCTTTCAAAGGCAAGTCACCAGTGACCCAAGACCTACTTGCCAGAAATAGACCAAGTCTGCACCCTAATCCATTAACCATAACCTAAGGTTTTGGCAGACCCAGATTCCAATCCTGTTTACCTTTGAGGAGCACCCAAAATATTATATACATATACATCTCTGTCTCTCTGCTTATAATTCCACTAGGATACAATTATGGGGGCTCCACCCAAATCATCTAACCTAACTTCCCAAAGCACCTTGATACGGTTAAATTTCCACCAACTTTAGTGACTTAACTCCTAGTGTGTGGGGGACAAATATTCAAACCACACAACTCACAAAGTTTGTCTTTGTCTCCCTGCAGATCGAAGGTTCCTTTGTTCAGGGAATGGGCTTTTACACCACGGAAGAGTTGTACTACTCCCCAGAAGGCGTCCTGCACTCCCGGGGCCCAGATGAGTACAAAATTCCAACCGTCACTGATGTCCCAGCGGAGTTTAACGTCTCCTTGCTGCCATCCTCACAAACCCCACTAACCATCTATTCATCCAAGGTAAACACAGCTACTCCTGACCCACGTAATGGAGCAGAGAACCTGGTAAATGGGAGATGATGGACAAAATTAAAAAGTAAATAAGTGTGAACTGTGAGCCAGACCAAAGCATAGACTGCTAGAAGCTGGAGATGAATCAACCAGGAAAAACACGGAGCTGCAGGAAAGCTGAATGGTATGCCCAGTGGCAATCATGATCCAGCATTTTATTAGCATCCCCTTTCACAGAAAGCTTTGAAATTCATCAAAGAGTTGTAGCCTCTTAGTAGAACGACATTTCACTTGAGGACCTAAGGCCAACAATGGCAAATGGGGTTGAGGGCAGGATGCCACCAAAATCTTAGAATGCAGTGACCGCTTGGACAGAGCCCTGGACTGAGACCTCGGATGACCCAAGCTCCTGCCTCAGCTCCACTCCTCCCTGTGATCCTGCGTGAATCATTTACCTTCCTGAAGCCTTAGTAATTTACACACGCATACTGCACAAACACACACACACCCCTCACAACCAGGGAGCAGTCAGCAGTGGAACTAAACAGCCTTTAGTACAAACACACACAGTCCCTCCAACAAAGAGTACCCAGCACAGACTGCACAGTCAGAAAGCAAAGACATCAATCTTAATCATGGCTGTGATCATGAAGGTGCCAATTCAAATTAAGGTTGGCCTTATTTGCCTTGCCAGGTGCACACTGCGGGAGAGCTACCCTCAGAGAAGAGATGTATGTAGCTTTGCTACATACAGTTTACGTTTTCTTGAAAATCTTTTGAGAGACTTCTGACCAGGGAGATTTTAAAACAAACCTAACACAGAGTCCAATTCTATCTGGAAATCATTTCATCATTTCTTCCCTGGAGCCCATTCTCATCCCCCAGGGACTTCCTTTGGATACATGATGATGATGAGTCCAGAGCGAATTTGAACGGAAAGACTGAGTTCTCATTGGACTGGAAACCAACAAAAGGGGAAAAAGCAAGAGACAGCTCAGAGCCTTGCTCTCACAGCTGCCCCAAGAGGAACAGGACAGACAGGACCCTTGACCCTAATGGCTGTGGCCAGCCACCCAGAGGGTTGTGGGCTTGCATCGTCTTTGTTTGTTGACAGTGAACAGAGGCTCAGCAAGGTGACTTCACTTCCTAGGGGAACTACAAGGTAGTTAAAGGCCAGGGTTCAGTCCCTGTAGTTTGAGTTGCATACAGGTGGCTACTGGCCAAATCTGAAGGTGTGTTTCTTAGGCCATTACACTGTTTTTGTCTTTTAAAAGACTTGAAGCGAAACCTTTGAATTTGTGTAAATGATAAGTGTAAAATCCTACTATAAAGTGCTAATGTTACACAGTTTCAAATAAAACCAAGTAATGCAGGATTAAAAAATAAAGTCAGGGACCTGGCATGGTAGCCTAGCAGCCAAGGTCCTCATCTTGACCGCGCTGGGATCCCATAAAAGTGTTGGTTTTAAGCCCAGCAGCCTCACTTTTCATCCAGCTCCCTGCTTGTGGTCTGGGAACCCAGTCAAGGACAGCCCAAAGTCTTTGGATCCTACATCTGTATGGGAGACTCCAAAGAGGCTCCAGGCTCCTGGCTTCGCATCGGGGCAGCTCTGGCTGTTGTGGCTGCTTGGGAAGTGAATCAGCAGAGAGAATATCTTCCTCTCTGTCTCCCTTCCTCTCTGAAAATCTGATTTCCCAACAAAAATAAAACGAATCTTTTTAAAAAGTCAAAAAAAATTAAATTATAGATGTCTTAATTCTTTTGAAAAAAAATCGAATGATTTGATATGATGATCTTATCATTTTGGTACATTCCTAGAAAGCAACAATTAGAACCAAAGGACAGTCCCATCCGGTAGGTAGGACATAACTTCCTCTGCTTCACCATAGTACTCCGCTAAGTCCTTATTATTCTCCATCTGCTCACATCACTCATTTATGTTATCTGCCTGTTCCCTGCAGATAATGAATTTGCAACCTTTTAACTGATAATAAGGCCTATTCTTTCATCTGGTAATCCCCACTTCCCCTCACCCCAAAGTCATAATGAGGCATTTTTCTCTTCCTGGTTCAATTGATTATTATTTACTAACTAGAATTTTTTTCCTCACCCTACACATACACACAAAAACAAATGCACACACAAACCCACACACCCCTATCCTATAAAGATTTAATCCAGGCAGGATTAAAGGCCCTGAAACTTCAGATGGCACTGGGCTTTTTTTTTTTTTTCTTTTTGGTGGTGGTTGTTGTTAAAGATTCATTTTATTTTTATTGGGAAGTCAGATATACAGAGAGGAGGAGAGACAGAGAGGAAGATCTTGATCTGATGGTTCACTCCCCAAGTGGTTGCAATGGCTGGACCTGATCCAATCCGAAGTCAGGAGCCAGGAGCCTCCTCTGGGTCTCCAATGTGGGTGCAGGGTCCCAAAGCTTTTGGCCGTCCTTACTGCTTTCCCAGGCCACAAGCAGGGAGCTGGATGGGAAATAGGCTGCCAGTATTAGAACCAGCAACCATATGGTATCCCGGCATGTGCAAGGTGAGGACTTTAACCACAATGCTATTGTGCCAGGCCCTGGGCTTACTTGCTTGCTTGCTTGCTTGCTTGCTTGCTTTTTAAGAATACTTGCATTCATCCAGTTGTGAAGTCAATCAAAAAAACATTTTTTGAGAATCTATTTTATCGAAACGCTTTGGGTTAGGGACACAATGTTTAGCAATACCTAGCCTCTGTCCTTTAGTAGTTTTCATCTAGTATGTGAGCTTCTAAGCAGATATGTGTCCTTGCAGGGCCTTGGGGAGTCTGGGATGTTCCTGGGGTCATCTGTGTTCTTTGCCATCGCTGATGCAGTGGCCGCAGCACGCCGAGAAAGAGCCATCACTGAAGACTTCATGGTGAAGAGCCCAGCCACTCCAGAATGGGTTCGAATGGCCTGTGCAGACTGGTTCACAGAAATGGTATGAAGTCACTTCTCTCTGAAAAATTATGTTTTTGTTTCCTGGCTGTTAAACCTCTAGGTCTGTATCTACTCATGTCTTGGTAAAAGCAAATTACCCAAGCACACCTTGCATAAGTGTAGCAGTTTTCGATTTTTCTAAAGCATTCCTTTATGTTAATTTGATCAGCCCAACATTCCTGAAGTAGAATTGTTTGTCATGCAGGAAAACGAACAGCTAAATGGGAAACAATTGGCCCTTTCCTCCATGCTGTTCTAAGTGTTCCTCCCATCCAAACTACCACATCCCCACCCTTCATCAAACACACACACACACACACACAAAAAAAAAAAAAACCATGTGTCATACATAATTCGTGGTGTCACTCTCTGTTCCCTATACAAACAAATGTATACTGTCTGCCATCAGGTAGAAACAAGAGGATTCCAGGCCCAGCTGCCACCTTCTTGCTCCATTGCATCTAATGACAAGGCCTTGTACCCCAGGAGAAAAGACTATGGAGTCATCAATCAGTCCCAAGCCACCAGACGTTACACCTGAGCAGCATTTATAAGGTTATGGATACTGTCATGGTGAATTTCCTGAAAGAATCCTGATTTAAAGAGGAGTAGTTAGTCTTGATTGCACCAAAGCTTGCCTACGTGTTATCCCACTAGTCATTATGACAGCTTTATCAAGTAACTAGTATCATTTTCTTCATTTAACTGTTGGGGAAACAAAAGCATGATAACCGGCTCAACATGTAAGAACCTGATTAATACATGAGGGTTAAGAGCTGAATCCAGGGGGCCAGAGTGCTGGATTAACTGGCTAATCCTCCACCTGCAACTACTAGTATCCCATTTAGAGGCCAAGTCATATCCCAGATGCTCCACTTCCCATCCAGCTCCCTACTTATGACTTGGGAAAGCAGTAGAGGACAGCCCAAAGCCTTGGGACTCTGTAACCACATGGGAGACCTAGAAGTTCATGGCTCCTGGCTCTGGATTGGCTCAACTCCGGTTGTCATAACTATGTAGCGAGTGAACTAGCAGATGGGAGATCTTTCTGTTTCTTCTCTCTGTAAATCTACCTTTCCAATAAAAACAAGTAAATCTTGAGAAAGGAAAAGCAAAGAGAAAGAAAAAAATCTGAGTCTAGGTTGGCTGGCTCCTTCAAACTAGACTGCCTCCCAGGAAAAAAAAAAATTGACTCTCTTTAAGGAAATTTGTTTTTTCATATCTGTGTTAAAAAAAAAAAAGACCCAAATACTTAACTGACCTCTTCAAAATAGCCAGCCATAGGGCAAGTAATTTTGCACAGACATGAAGACACCAGAAACCCATATGGCAGTGCCGACATTTCAGTCCAACTCTACTTTGGAGTCCAGCTTCCTGCTGATTCAGATCCTGGGAGGCATTCAGGTACCTGGCTCCCTGTCACCATGTGGGAAACCCAGATTAAGTTCCAGACTCCCAGCTCTGGCCTGCCCCAACCCTACCCAGCTGTTGAGGGCATGTGAGGAGTGAACTATGAAAGGCAGATTTCACTGTGTCTACCTTTCAAACAACGAAAATAAAGTTTTAAAATGATATCTAAAATGAAATAGTCAGCCCTACACTGAAAAAGAATATGTAAATATTGCCTAAATAGGAACATTGTAATTATTCATTTCCTTTTCCTATATGAATTATTCCTCTCTGTCTCCAAGTTTAACTCAACAGTCCTTGTTGTATTCCAGCAGTGCCAATCTGCCTGTAATCTGACACTTGTGGTATTGCACTATTCATGGCAAGGCTGGCCAACCCCTGGCCATGGCTCCTTAGTGGGCAAGGCCAGGACAGCTGCCACCCTCTGTGCAGGGTTTGGCTTGGAGGCCCACTGGTTGTGCCCCTCCCTGTACTCACTACGTAGTAATGAGGGGAAAGAGGGAGTAGGGTCATACCATACCCTGAAAGTAAAACAAAAAATCTGACCTTTAAAAAAAGATGTTTTTTCCATACTTTGGGATCTTAAATATGCTTTTCTGAAATGGAGTAAGTTAGAAAAACTTTTTAAAATGCACCAAAATCAAAAGCTACTGGTAATTCTCCTTCTGGCCTGGAGTTGACGCTCTCAGGCTCCCAATGGGCTGGCTCTTAGAAAATAAATGTTTTCAGTTCCTGGATTGCAGGCCATTTTAAATAGTTCAGTTATCTGACAAAATAGCTCTCTCTCACGCAGTGGTAGGAAATAAATGTTCTGATTCCATTCACCATTTGGAACTCAATGACCTGGATACTTAGTCTATTAGATGAAATTGTATTTTCTCCCAAGTTCAATGTACTCTGGTTTAGACCAGCTTAATATCTAATCTAATCTGTTAGTTTGAACACTCATTAATTAAATTCTGAGACTCAATGGAAAAGTAATTTCACCTTTCCCACCTTTCCATTTTTTTCTTAAAATCACTTTTTTTTTTTAATTTGAAAGGCAGAGTCACAGAGAGAGACATCTCCCAGCTGATGAGTCACTCCAAAATGGCCATAATGGCCAAAGCCAAGTTGATCTGAATCAAGGAGCTTCTTCGGGGACTACCATTGGGGTGCAGGGCTTTTGGAATGATTTTGGAATGTTCACATCTCTTTATCACTGGAAATAAGTAATTTTGGCTTTTAATACTTTTGTAACTCAAAATGAATCCTTCAAACAAAAAATACAGCATCTGTGATGGGGAGAGAGATGTATTCTGCTTCAAGATCAAATATAGCCAGAACTCTTAGCAAACGAGACAGGCATTGAATCCACAAGAAGAAGGGTGAACAAGAGACGCCTTAGCTGCTAGGCCAAATGCTCACCCCTAAAGTTTTTTTCTTTTTTTTTAAAAAAATGATTTATTTATGTATTGGAAAGTCAGATATACAGAGAGGAAGAGAGACAGAGGGAAATATCTTCCATCTGATGATTCACTCCCCAAGTGGCTGCAACAGCCAGAGCTGACCAATCCAAAGCCAGAAGCCCAGACCCTCTTCTGGGTTTCTCACACATGTGCAGGAGCCCAGTGCTTTGGGCCATCCTCGACTGCTTTCCAAGGCTAGAAGCAGGGAGCTGGAGGGGAAGTAAGACCGTCAGACTAAAACCAGTACCTTATGGGATCCTGGAGCATGCCAGGTGAGGATTTTGACTACTAGGCTATTGCACCGTGCCCTTATGTTTGTTTTTTAAAAATGATTTACTTATTTGGAATCAGCATGGTGGCTCAATGGCTAAATCCTCACCTTTTAAGCATTGGGATCCCATATGAGCACCAGTTTGTGTACCAGCTGTTCCATTTCACATTCAGCTCTATGTTTGTAGCCTGGGAAAGCAGTTGAGGATGACCAACAGCCTTGGGCCCCTGCACCTGTGTGGCAGACCCAGAAGACGCTCCTGATTCCTGGCTTCAGCTCAGCTCAGCTGTGGCTGTTGCCGCCATTTGGGGAGTATATCAGTGGATAGATCTTTCTATTTATCCTTCTCTCTGTAAATCTGCCTTTCCAATAAAAATAAATAAATCTTAAAAAAAATTATTCATTTGAAAGGCAGAGTGACAGTGTGGTGCAGAGCTGGATCTTCCATCTGCTGGTTTACTATCCAAATAGTCACCACAGTCAAGTCTGGGTCAGGCCAATGCCAATATTCCACCCTGGTCTCCATCTAAAGAAGCAGTCTTCTGATGCCTTCCCAGGAAGAACAAGCAGGACTCAAAATGACACCTTTTTGGGATGTCAACATGGCAAGGGGTGGCTTAACCTACAGCACCAAAATACAAGCCCCTCAACTTATCTTTCAAAGTGCCCTTTCAGGGGCCTACACTGTGGTTCAACAGGCTCTTCCTGCTAGCACTGGCATCCCATATGGACACTGGTTTAAGTCCTGGCTGCTCTACTTCCAATCTAGCTGTTACAGCCCTTTGAGGAGTGCATCAACAGATAGAAGATCTCCATCTCTCTGTAAATCTGCCTCTCAAAAAAAGAAAAAATATATATATATACCTTTTCACATACATACACACACACACATTAAATAATTTTTACTTCCTGTATGTTTATATATATATCCCTATATTTATGAAATTTATAATGCCCATTTTCTGAAATTAGAATATTATTGACAAAAGTCTTCGAAAAGATTTTACCCTAGTGTGGAATGTGACTTTTGAACTTTCAATCCCAGGACATTTGGACTGAAAAAATATGCTTTCCCTCGAAACCAATCAAAAAGCAATTGCCCAGGGCTACCTTTGTTGTCTAGTGTATTAACTGTCACATATGAACTTGATCCCTTCCTTTCAGCAGGGTTTGAGGGGAGTGGTGAGATCCCATGAAGCTTGCTCACCAAAATCAAGTGCTTTAAAACATCTTGGAACAAATCTGAACCCATCTCAGGACTTAGATTTGTAAATACATTTGATTGCCTACATGGCTTTTTAATGGAAATATATGATGATTTAGAGCACACAGTACCAAGTAAAAACAATGTTTATAGAAACATGGACACTATACTCTTTGTATTTGTCCTCTTCATACTGTTGTCAAAATGCAACTTGTTCTGATGAGTAAGAAGATCAGGGAGCTATGGACTGGAACAGGAACACTGGAAAGTTCAAAACCTCCCCTTTTAATAACCAACCTCCTCCTAGCTGCAAGGTAAATGACAGCCTGGCTAGATCTCTTTCTTAAACAGAAAGTAAAGTGCTCAGCACTTGGGTCTTGGAATTCAATAACATAACGCATGTAAAATACTGTGCAAATATAAGTCACTCGGTAAATATTAGAGTCAAGGTCATCACCCCAATACCTGTAACTGTTAATGGCCTTCAAAATGTGCCTCTCCCATAGCCCCTAAAAAATGTTTCCACATTAAATCAAACTGACTCTGGAAGCCAGAAAAAAATAACAATGCTCAAACTAACAGACTCATTTTCATGGGCAAATTGACTTCCACAAGAAGCAGGTATTGGCTGGAAGCCTAAGGTGCTTTCATTCCCTGTGCGCTCCCCTCTACCA